GTCTTTCCATGACGTTCCAATTTTTAAAGTTTTTATTAAAATTAACAGTTAAACCGTTTCTTTACAGATTGTCCTTTTCAGATACAAGATAAATTAAATTTGTATTAAACTCATTACAGCTGGTAAATATTTCAGTTTGTTGTAATTCAAACCATGTCTAAATAAACAATTTCCCATTATTCAACCGAACCCCTTAATGAATTAAGCTTTTCCTGAATATACTTTATTTTGAAGAATCGATTCACATAAAAATATGATGAAACTTTTGGGCATTTTCTTTTCTTTCTTTTCCTTTTTGTTTTATTTTTGGTAGTCTGGACAAGATAAGACTTTATCTTATAACCTATATATACCAGGGGTGATCAAAAAGATGAAATTTAAATTGGTACACATATAGCCATATACAGGAGACAAAACCGCTTTTACTTTTGAATAGGTGGTTGAAAAAGTATGCAGATAATCAAAAATATTGCGATTTTTAGATTGTACTTGTAACTACCCTGTGAACCTTCAGAATGGCGTCTTGTTTGACAGCAATAAAGGTCAGCTGACTTATACAACCAATCAGATGACAGGTTACAACTACTCGGCTTACATTTCCGGGGGTTCAGTATGGACCTGTTTCTTAATAGAAGGAGACTACATCGTGTCAAAGTATGCAGAATGTCTTTTTAGATATAGTATCTGTTAATCAATAGCTTTACACAAAGTGCATTTGTTACATTAAAATTTTTAATCTAATAAACTTATTTATCACTATCTAGATGGTTATGGATAAGTTTAAACTTTAGATTTAAACTTTTAATGTAGCACATTGTTTCAGATACTAGTAAATGTTTTCTGACTTCATTGTAATGAATTATACTCATGGTCGTTTGGAGTACACAGTTAGAGAAATATATTGATGAAACTATTTTGAACTACATGTATGGATGCTTAATAAACCTGAACTCAGTTTGTCAATATTAATGAAGTATACCAGAAAGCAAATTAATTTGGAAAAAATATCAAAAGCGCTTGGGTGGCCATGCGTTCAAAAGTGACATTGAAATTCATTGCATGGAATGAAGATATGTTGTTTTTTTTAAATAGTATTTATAACACACATTCAGATAAATTCATAGTGAGGATTATCTTTACTCCCGACATTTTCCACATAGTGCATAATATACCGTAGCTTCCTCGTCTTTTGTTTCTACTTAACATCATTGCGAGCATCATTGTTACACGTACTTCAGATTGCGGGAACATTGTTTTTCTTTCAACTTCATCACATTCATGTGAACTCATTTCAAGTATATTCAGATATTTGATTTTACACCTCAGGTTAATAAAAGGCTCATTCAAAAACCAATAATCATGACTTGATCAAATAATAACTCGAGATCCGAGGTTGAAATTAGAAATATCCCGAGAAAGTGCCAAACTGCAATTTGGAGTAATTTTCTTATACACAAAATCTATTTGTAACAATGGCATTATCTTTCTGGCTAGTCAAAATTTAATTCAGCTTAATTAGCTTGTAACAGTTCAATACATGCAGGTTTAATGGAGGCCCTTATTTTTTAACCTTGCGCAAATGACAGTCGCATTCAAAATGACGATCAGTCCAAAGAAAGTTTAACTCGAAAGTTGTTGAGTTTTGAATCAGGTTAGGCATAAAAAATTCTTTTACGATTATAGGTTTTGATATCAAAGTACAACGAAATACAAAAGTTTTCATGACAATATCCCTTCTTTTAAATTAGTATTATAAACGTCAGTCATTCGTCTCTCTCTCTCTCTCTCTCAAACTACATGTATGCATAATTGATTTTTGCATCATAAACATTTATTATTTCAGGGCCAACAATCCTTTAACTATACTTATGTCAAACTTTGATGCTTACCTTTGTCAGTTGATGACGAAAATTACACCTTTTTCCTACTATTATTACATTGAAGGAGGTAATGTCTATTCTTTCTTTGAATACTACTTTAAGAATGTTGCATAAATGATAATTTATTTTTATTAAAAATCGATTCATTTGTAAATTTTGCTCAATGTTTCTAGACAACCAAGCAGATTCGAACAACGAAAGAATGAATGTTTTCATCTCCGGATCATCTGTAACATTAGCTCAAACATGTGCTAGGTCAGCTTCAATTCCAACAGAAGAATTCCATGTTCTCGTAAAGTCAAGTATGTAAAATCGGCATATTTCTTAATTGATCTTTAGCCCATTACAGAAAAAAATTCAACGTTGATGTAGACAGTCATATGAAAGAGAACATATTGATATTATTTTTTTTTAAGCAGAGAACTAATAATAATAAAATGTTATATTATTCAAAGATGTTTCATGCTTTTGCATCCAACTGTCTATATAAAACATTGTTCTGAAATCAATCCTGCAGCAAATATGGCAGACGTCAAACAATGGTTACCACCACCGTTGCTAGGCACATTTGAGTACACAAAAGTCACGTCTGCTGGTGTTTCTTCCTGTGGTACAGGATCTATCTGGGACGTCTGCAATAACCGAACGACTTTGACGTTCAACTTGGCAAAGTGCAATTCAGTAGTTGCATATTCTCGTGAGTTTTACATGCATATATAAGTTTTTGATGCACCTCAAAATCTTAGAAATCTCTACTACTACTTACTGCGTGTCTGTGTATAAATTAGCAGACTCTTTTGGAAATTTCTCAATTACAAGTATACCGTTTCCCTGTGTGATAAAATTGAGAGTATTCTAATCAGATATACAGATATGCTTCAATAAGTCATAGCTCATGGAGTTGACATACATGTATATAAATATTATTTGATGTTAGGTGGAGTTAGAAGCACGTTTTAGTAAGAACTTGGATGTATGTAATTGGTTGTTATTTTTCATAATATTTAATATGGTGTTGCAATTCTTCTTTTCATCTATGCACAATTCTCATTGACCAACAATATAAAATTGATGATTAGGCTTATTTTAGAAGGCGAAGTTAATGGTTTGTTCTATGTAAAGAAAGGGTCTACATACTACATTGTGGTATTGAATCCAGGTGCTGTGGATGGCTCTACTTATTTCCGCTTTACCTGTATGGTAAGCATATTTCTTCCCTTCCAAAAAAGATATACTCTGAAATGTCATTTTTATTTGAAAATATTAAGTTATATAAACTTAACAAAAAAAAAGTGCCCTGGGCACAATAATTCAACCGTTCAAACAGACACACTTACGTGGGAAAAAATAATTTCTTTATTTTTTGTCAAAATTGGGATTAAGTCAATAATTAGTCATTGAAACCAATTTTATATTATAAATTTAAGGCTGTAACACAATCAGGGACCAATGTAACAGTAGTAGAGAAGAGCGGAAGTTGTGGACCAGGACAAAACACCACACTGGCTGGATCTGGGGGTTCTAAGTACACATTGACACCGTATGGTATGGGATACAATTATTTTTCTCAAGACTAATTATTATCAATAATTTCAAATATTTTCATTAAAGCGATAACCATGATGCATAAACTGGAAAATTGACAAACGTAGAAGTTTTATATAACACATTTATTTTCTTATTTATGGATATTACGAATTAAAAAATGACACTAGACGTTAATAATTATCATGGAAATATTAGCCATTTTGCCATGAGGATTTAAAACCCACTAATAAAATTTGATTTCTGCGATATCAGATACAGAGTATACAAGTGTTATGATATATTTTAGCATAGAGCAGCTGAAATTTCAATTGATCTTTTCTTGTCACCAGTTTTCTGGCGTCCGTCCGTCCATTTGTCCTAATGTCTGTCTTTTTCTCATTTTCAACTTCTCAAAAAACGTTATTTCAATTTAAACGAAAGCTGGTACAAAGCATTCCTGCGTAAAAGGGATTCTAAATTATCAAAATTAAAGCCCAAGCACCCTATCATAAGAACATAATCAAGTAAAGACAAATATAGGGTGGGAACATGAAATAATTTCTCTTCCAAAGAACCATTGGTTCAGAAAAAGCTGAAATATATGTGGAGGCTTTCTAAGGTAGCGTGGATTCTAAATTGTTCAATAGATGCCCATGTGGATGGTTTTGGAACACAAATTACATTGATATATAAAGAAAATTTATTCTCAGGATCCAGAAATCTTGAATCTCCTGAATGTAATATAAGTTATTAATTGTTCAGCTAATGGCTCCTGGCGTAGGTTGAGGCCACAACAGGGAATACAAGAATATTTGGAGAAATATTTGAAAATCTTCTTTGATGACAACAAAATCCTTATTAATCATTTTAATCCAGAAGCATTATCTTGTGAGGTAGATGGTTCATTTTTTTTTTCAAATTACTGCCTCATTTTGAGAAATTTGGCCACAAAAGACAATCAAAAGAAATCAAAGTTTTACAAAGAAATACATGAATATTTTGAGGAATTTTTTTGTGCAAAATAACAGGGCCAAAGTAACACAGTCTATCGTTGTAAGCAGTGGGCCTCTTGTTTACATTGATTCTTTGTTGTTCTGAGATGCGTATAATGTATGAATGCGTTTAATTGCATCACTGTTTAATATTGTGGGTACACTAGTAATTGAAAATAGTGTTATTTTTTCTTATAATATATTTTATTGTCGTAGCAATTTGTCGTAAGTATTTGATATGACCATGGTTACGAATTACATAAGTAGTTGCTTTCTGGTTGATCGTGTTTATTAAAACTAACATTTTATATAGTAGCGGACACTATTTATGTATTTTTACTGTGTAAAAGAGATAGCTTTTCTAGTGATGCGATATACAATCCTTTGATTTTAAGCAGATTAATATTCAGCAAGCTTGGAGTGTGTTTAGATCAGTAACCCATTAAAACACAATGCCATATCCAGTTATTTGCTTAACACCAAACTTGACTAAAAAAGACGTTTATAGCATCCTAGCCACTAACTGATAAGCGTGATGACTTCAACTTTTATACCCCCTGCTTGAAAAGTGGGAGGGTATACTTTAATTGGTAAGTCCGTCTGTCTGTCCGTACGTCCGTCCGTCTGTCTGTTACGCTATGGGGTACCCATCTCTTATCCGCAACTCCTCTTATAACACTGAGTGAAATTTAATGAAATTTTCATAGAATGTTTATTACATATTGCCATTGTGACCTCATATTTTACTTTTTGATCCGACACATATTTTGGGTTTCCCGGCCACAGCAAAACATGGACTTTTTGCCATTATAACCATACGGGAGGCGGGGGTATCATTTAGAAAGTTCATTGCTCACAGTACCTCTAGTTTCAATTGTGAAGGACTCTTACTTATGTAGCAATATATCATAATCACCTGCATGCGGCGTTTATATCTCTTAGTTGATTCGATAGATGTAGGTACATGTAAACGCGTGCTATACACATATACGTGTAAACTATTTATAAAATGAGGAGAGTTAGTGGCAAACAAGTTACCAAACAAGCTAGATTATCAACAACTTTAAACTCGTTTAAAGTCATTATTTCGGAAAGTTTATGGTCGATACAATGATCATGTCAGCAAAATATCTGTCATTTAGGCAGATACTAGCGTTTATCATATCAATTAATACCGGTAGAACATAATTTACGAACTGAATTGCTCAGTCATTTTTCGATCATTTAAGGAGTACAAGACATGTTTGCCCGATTGGTAGGAGATGTTCACTCCTCCATGGCACCCGATCCCACTTTGATGTTTTTAAGTTCTGCGTTTGCTCTGCTCCTGATTGTAATTGTTTGAATGGACTTTTGAACTAGAGTGCTGTTCTTTTATCATAAGTCAAGAAGGCCACTAACTACAACGTATTGCTTAATTCATAAAACTTAATCATTTGTCTATTCTATTGAAACTACAGAAATTTTAACTAGAATGATACAGTATGATTCTTTAATTAACACACAAGGTATGTTATGAGAAGAAATTTCAGACCGTTCATTCTTTTTTAAATTCACTCATTGCTACTTTTACTGGAATAGATATTTAGTAACCGTATTTTATTTAGTTTTCTAAAAATTCATTATTCTGTAGATAAAAGCAAAACAGGACATTTTCTTTTTCTTACCATTTCTGTACCTATTTGTGTAATTGTAAGAAGAAAGGAAAGTTTCAATTTTAAGTTTCCTTACATCTCAAAAATTGAAAATCATACAAATGAATATTTTCATTTTATTTCATTCAATATTGTTCAGAAACTAGAGGTACTGTGAGCAATGAGCTCATTAATGATACCCACTGCCTCCCACATGAATATAATGGCAGTGTCCATGTTTTGCTGTGGGAAACCCAAAATATGTGTCGGATCAAAAAGTAAAATATGGGGTGTACGATGGCATTATGTAATGAAGATTCTGTGAAAGTTTCATTAAATTTCACTCAGTGGTATAAGAGGAGTTGAAGATAAGAGATAGTTACCCCAAAGCGTAACAGACAGACGGACGGACATACTGATTGCTACATACCCTCCCGCTTTTCAAGCGGGGGGTTTAATAAAGGCGACAAGATTTCATTATTAATGTAGAATTCCTGTATATATAATCATTAACATTCTGTATCCTTGTACAAAACCACACAAAACATAAATAACTTTTTGCTTGCAGCTTTAGATTCTTGTTATGTGACAAAAGAAAATAGAAATTCGATTTGGCATGTTTCTGATTAAAAAGAATAATTTGAAGGAGAAAGAATGATTTAAGAATAATTTAGAAATTAAAAGCAATAAAGAAAATGCTGTTGGTGCAATTTCAAAAGCAAGAAGACGCAATGATAAGGAAATGAGAATACTTATAATCCTGGCAGTGCTTTCTGTAAATTGAAAAACAAACATATTAATTTTTGCAGCATTTACCACTGACAGCCCTCCAGAGACTAACGTTAACATCGCTATAATCCTCGGAATCGTAATACCTTTACTCGTTCTTATAGCGGTTGTAGCAGTTGGTTTTATTTGTAAGAAGAAGAAAATGAAGATCCATGTGTAGGAAAAAAGGAAAAGAAAGTTTATCAACGAAAATTGAATATTACTTTATTTAACAAATAATATTGTCAAATTTCTATTAGATCTTCATCTGCTTAACATATTTAACAGGGTTTAATAAGCCAAGAATTGTCAAGCTGTATATATTGTATAATCTGTTGTACTAATTAAAAAGTTATTATCTTCTATCTACAGAGATAGTAATGTGGTGTAAGGATTTTATTATCGTTCATTTTATGTTAGAGCTACTAGTATTAGTTTTCTTTATACGTATACTCTGACACATTCACTATTCTTTTTTATGTCCAATTTATATACTGTATTTTTTACAATCAAGGAAAAAAATGATAAAGGTGCCTTAAATTCTTTAAAAGTTCTTAATATGTTTGTTTTTCCCAATTTCAATAAGTAGAAAAATTTTAAGATAATAGGATTTTTATCCTATATTTACTTTAGTATTAGTAGTATACTTGGTCGTCATACTATTTTACATTTAAAGGGGCAGAAACATAATTATTTTTATCTGTAAAAGAGGTATTTTTTGTCAAAATGTAAATGTAAGAAATACAGTGGTACATTTTTTAGTATCTTTATTTCAAATTCTTTAAATGTATAATTCATCCACGTTACTAAAATCATTCTGGGGCATCCACCATCCTATACCTTCTACTAGTATATGCTGAGTGGTAACCATAGCAATGTCCAGTGGTGTAACCATAGTTACACATTCCATCCTGTGGAATACTGACTCTTTCAGTTGGCTGATTGAATGACCCTCGTCCGTTTTGATCATTTTTAAAGAAATGTTGAAATGAAAACTCGTTGTTACTGAAATTGATGCATGATGAAAAATAAGTAACTGCGTTTTTTTATGTATAAATTTATTTATATTTTTTAAATATCTTTATCAAGCGCATGATTTCTTTTTTTAATTAAATGTCATTTTAGAGCTTAAATTCAAATTGTACTTACATGAAAAAGTGGACTTTAAAAAGTTTTTTTTTTAAATAAATGTTTTAAAATACATACTGTGTTGTATATCCATTGTGTTCGGGGAAAGTGTTGCCTGGTAAATCCATGAAAAGGGAATTGTGATTGTTCATCTCATAACCCTGGTCCTGATTGAAGCAATTGACAGAGGGTATTGCGTTATTGTTAGAATTTGGACTGGATATCTATTGAACAGAATAAAAGGATACTATTTCTGTATGTTTTCTCAGTTGCAATGTCTTAGTACCCGGTACATAATATTGACGAAAAGGTTACATACCCTGAAGATACTTTTTTAATTCTAAAATCTCTAATATGATAATACCCTCTCCTCTCGCCCTTCCCATCGCCGAAATATGGCTGAAATATTGCCGACCCGGCGTTAAACAATAATAATCAATCAATCTCCCCCTTTCCCAAATAAGATATTATTAATACTTATGGATTTTATTTCTTTCAAATAAGTGGCACAACTGACTAAAATGATATTACTAGCTAGTGTGAACTTAACTTCCAAGCAACAAAACTACACGAATTTATAAAACTTGGACGGGGATTTTTACAAACAGTTCTTACTTGATCATTGGGCAGGTTACATGGTGTCTCATAAAATATACCAGACTCCTTAAAACTCCGAGAATGGCTAACCTGCTTTCTGAACAAAAAAAAAAATTACCAAAAAATTTACTTCTTGACAAAACCTTCCAACCAAAAAAGTTTTTCAGTAGAGTGAATAGTATAATTATTAATAATGGCTTGTTCTCTGTAAGATTTCCTTTACTGTTTGAGACTGATAAAGACGTAATTTTTTGTAATTTTTTTTTTCCAGACACATAATATACATGTATTTGTGATATTAATTTCAATACATAATCATGTATCAATTTTTTTTCCGTCAAATTTCAACGGAAAACTTGTAAATATTTTTTTTAAATACTCATAATTTATATGAAATGAAACATTGAATAATGTTGTATTGTAGTTTTTAAAAAAAATCTCATAAATCCATTAAACATTTTAAAGAAAACTTACAAAAACGGTTTTCTCTGATCTTCAGAAGTGGAATGTGTGCATTCATAAGTCGAACTTTCAAACCGTGTTCTTGGTGAAATTGTGACTCTCTCATTTCCTTTTAAATAAACTTGAGGATTGAATTAACATAAAATAAAATCTTTGGATGAGATAAACACCAATACAATATTTAAAGCTTTACTTCTGTATAAAATTATTTGTCATTTGTTACCAATATTTTTCTTGTATACACTGCTTTCCATAACTTCCATGTTTGTTTCTGTGGAACACTCTCTGGGTTCAGATGCCATAAAAGCTTCTTTAATTATACTGTAGTCGGGTAATGGCTCATCGTCCGTCAGATCTGGAAATGGAAATTCTATTCATTCTTTATTTTTATCCACCTTAAATACAACACGAGGTCCTTTTATACAATGCATACAAAGACAGTATTGCCATGAAAGAAAAGTAAGGAAGAAATTCAGAAACAAATTTATCAAACTCATGTTTGTTTAAAATAATTTTCTCGAAATAGAATAATCTAAACAAGTATGACAGGGTCTGTATAGAAAACAAAACCTGTTATTTCTCCTCTGATGTGTCTCAGGAAGTCTCTAGATCTCTCCTCGCTGTATAGGTTTTCCACAAGATACAACACATAGTCGTCAAACATCAGATGGAGTAAGTGGAATGATCCTAGTTTCAAAGAAAATTTATTTAAGTATAGGAACAGCTTCACTGAACTTAGATTTGAAATATACTTTATGTGCAGAAATAATATATAAGTACATGTACTAGGATTCCATTGCATTAATGTGTAGTAAAGGGTAACATAAGAATTGGTGTAAATTATTAGTTATTTTAAAACAAATAAGTTGACATTTTCACAGAACTATCATGCTTATCGGTATATTTAACAAAACAATATAGTAAAAATCGATACTGCATGTATAGAAGTCGATTAAAATCAAAATTCAGTTTAGAATTAAATTTACCGAAGCTTGGAGCGCTGTGCAATGTCATGTCTCGAATGACTCTGGTTCCAAAACAAGACCACATCAGTAAGAATTGTCGAGCCGTTCTTCGCAAAAAACCGGGTCTTTTCTTGGCATACTAAAATGACACGCGGTGAAAATCTTAATTATAGTCCAGATAATTCAACTTAATATGGACATGTGATCTGTGACGTATAAACTGACCTGGACGACACATTTATCTACCATGTTATCCAGCCATTCTACATAGGACTGCAAAGGTGCTTGGTCTTCCAACAGTTGTTCAAATTCATAACAAACTTTATTAAAGATGAAATAAAAAAGATAACATTTCTTGTCAAGCTTATTTAAACTGTGTATATTCCTGCTAAAAAAAGACATAAGTTGAGAAATTGAGACCACATCCCTCATAAAGACCATCAAAGAAATTAGGCAAGAATTATCAATTTAACCACTATTTTGAATACCAATCATCTACATATTTCAGATATCATAATGACTTATTGATCAACTAAAATATCATTTCGAATACCATTTTAATTCCTATTCGAGTTTCAGAGACCATAATGACAAACGAAGCACTCTTACGATTGGCGATAGTTTCTGTGACTTTCTCGTTATAACTCTCCATGGTGTACACTGTCTGTTTGATGATACTGTTAAGATCTACGCTGATCCAATCCTCCAACATTTGGGAGGAGATGTCGGGGCTGTGGACCACGGACCTGGCCGCCTGACACAGGTGATTCAGGGACGTCTGACGGCGAAGAACTTGAGCAAATCGACGGGCCACTGAATTAGAAAAATTGTCATTGTATAATAACTATAGCGGCCCTCTTTCATTGTCCATAATCCGTGTTTAATAGAAAATATATTTTTCAAAAATATCCTGTCTTTTTTCAAAGCTCCAAAACATAAGGACTGCCTCGCGTTGATGTAAAGAAAATGTAAAGAAATGAATTTTAGTAAGATAACCGTAAAAAAATAAAGAATATAAAAGTTAAAAGAAGGTTTTTAAATGTTTATTGAAATTGTCCAACCATTATGGTCGTTTTTTTTAAACAATTCATATAGAAGAAACAACATGGTGTACGAAGTCTTAGAATACTAACGGTCAAACTTCATTTTCCTGACTCCGTTTGGTAAGGAATCTAGTGCTATTTTTAACCATTCGTCGAGTTGTTTTGAAAATTTCTTGATAACTTGTATCAAACTGAAATATAAAGCAGCAGCTTATTAGAGTCGACATCAAAGCACTCTAAAGTTATCAGACATTTCAGAACAACGAAGAAACCGACGAAGATGACAAGTCAAAGATTCCAACAGGCGATAAAAAGTGATGTGGAATAGGAAGATGTGTAAGTACTAGAAAGTAAGCAGTGAAAGAAATAATGACTATCCAAAATAACAGTTTTCATAATACAAAAAATCTCAGAAATAATTCAGAAATAAATAGCTTAGAACAATTCTAAAACAAACAACTATTAACAGGCGTAGAAATGAAAATACCAAGGATCGAAATCTCGAAATGATTCAGAAATAAATAGCTTAAAACAATTCTAACACAAACAACTATAAGCAGGTGTAGAAATGAAAATACCAAGGATCGCAGAATACATATAGTTTGGCTTCATTGAAGAACTCGTCGTTGGATATCCTGAGGTACCCATGGTTGTTCTTTCTTTTACTTACGATAAATAAAGATGAGATCACCTCTGGGTATCCGATGATAAACTAAAAGATGGGATTTTTTTTTCATGTTTACCTTTCTGGAAGGGCTTGGAGGACAGTCGGCATTAGGACATTAGCGATGGCTTTGTATAACATGGTGTCACAGACACCTACCAACAGAACTATCGTCTGCGTGTCGAGGACCGCCATCATATGTCCCGGCATGCCTTGCCAGAAGTGGAGGAGGAAACTCTGCACCTGTATCAAAATAAGCATATTAAATAATGCATAGATATAGGTCAATCCATAGATATATCGATTTCACAAAAAAAGCATATGGAATTAGAGTCCATATCATAGCAATTCAAAACAATTGATCATATTAGAACAACGGAAGAACATACGAAGATGGCATTACCAGTCAAAGATTCCAGGCGATAAAAGTGACGTGGAATTTTAAAAAGCTAGGTTTGTTAAAACTGTAGAGTGAGCAGTGATAGAAATAATGTAGAAATAATTATATTCAAAAAACTAAAATTCTCTTAATTCAAACATAAAAAGTCTCAGAAATAACCGTAGTATTTGATATATTATTCCATCCCTCATCGAGCAGTAGCAGTATTTTTTCCTGTGGTGTTTTTTTCGACCAGTCAAGATCTGAAGATTGAATGAAATGATATACTGAGGTAAGAAAGTCTGCCTACCTCGTCAAAGTTAGCTCTGATGACAGTATCGAGTATCCTCTGACAATGTGTTCTATACATCATCAAAAAGGTCACCACCTAAAATGCAACAATACTCAACAAAAAAGTGATTCTTATTTTCATGACAAGATACATTTAAAGCATCAGCACACGAAAAACAATAATAAATACGGCCATTCATGCTTTATTTTGTGTCAAACCTTGTCTTCAGGTACAGTGTCTGGTAGTTTGATGTCTTTGATATCTGGAAAATCTGGTAACAGGGTACCGAGTTTTGATCGAGGTGAGTAGGCCACAATCTGATTAAAAATATAGACTGAATAATGCAAAAGATATCTTTTAATTGAGATTTGTAACTACAATGATATTCGTTATGTTGATTTTCAAGATACGTATAACCAAACAAAAGTTGCGTGTAGTTGAATTATGTTTCTAGATGAAAGGAGTTAGACGTGTGACACAGTTGAAAAGGGATAAAAATACATTTAGATTTGATGTGTTGTATTGTGTTGTGACGTGGAAAAATTATGAATAAAATTATTATTGGGGCTTAACAGATAACCTCATAAATGACAAAACAAGTGAGCACTATGACCAGAAAGTGCGCTTAAGTTACAGTGTATCGAATAATCGAGGTTTTTAAACCTTGAATATTCAACAAAAGTACACGAGGAGCTAAATTGTAAGTCATCTGAAGTTTTTGCAAAATGGATTTTCAAAAGTTGGAAGATCGGCAAATAAAGCTACCGGGTACACTTTTTCATGGCATAATTCATGGCAAGAATAAAATGAAAATAATTTACCTGTTTTACGTTTTCCTTTTTTCCCTCGCCTAAGCTGGAAAAAAAATAATTGAAAATACCTTGTTTTCCTGGTGAGATTTTAATAATGATGAAGAAGCTAAATACTTGTAGTTTACTTATTCATTTCTACCTCTGTGCTCCTTTTGAGGAATATATAATCTCAAAATGTTTTGACGTTTCCCGTACTCCAATACCATAGTAATGATACCTACAAAGAAGAACCGTTCTGAATAAGGTCCACTTTATACTCGGAGCTTAATCTAAATTGCAGGGAATCTAAAAATTGACATACTTTGACTGCCCTCTTGTTCCAAGTCGCCGCGTTGTGATTTGGGGAAACTGTTGCCGAATTATCTACAATTATAAAAACTTGAAACAGTGAAGCGAAAGACATTGAAATTGGTTTTTGGAAGGAATACGTTTTATGTACAAACCTTTCCAAAGCTGGCAGCATTGACTGGTTGCGTGTCGTTGGTCTCGCAGTAATCGAGGTAGTGGCAATACAGAGTGCTTCTGGGGATACATACTGCCTCTGCTATCTCGTAATTTTCATCCAACCTGAATCAGGTAAAAGAAAATGTATTTTCTGTAAGCCTCTTTGGATTAAAATGATTATGAAAAACACAAATAAATTGCATCCGTATTGAAATACTAAAGATATATACCACTTCAGCGCAGCAGGAGTGGAATGGGATTTTGTACAGTTGCGAAGTCGATGGAAGTTCCCTACAATGACAAAAAGAAAAGTTAGGGAAACTCCACTGAAGATAAGGCTATTCCAGATAATGTAAACCAGCTATAATTCGCGTCATATTTTATAAGCGATTTGTCAGTTTGAAATCGATCCGCGACGATTATTTTTCGCGTGTTGAAGTAAGTCGCGAAATTAAACTCGCAGATACTTCTCCCACGCGAATAAAAGTTGTAATATAGTACATGTATTTGTTATCTTTCAATTGTGTTGTGTACAAACCCAAGTTTGTTTCTTCATCATGGCCACGTTTTGAGGTTAGTCCGCTACTGAACTCTCCAATGTTGGGGTCTTTTAAGGGTTGTCTTTCAGCTTCCTGAAAGTCGCCATGAAAAGTTCCAGGAAGTGGAGTAATGTGGGATCCTGGGTTTGTAAAGTAAGAAATATACAACTGATTAGTCCTCGCAATTTGAAATAGACTTTTGCGAACACATCAAGAGGAGCGGTACAATTTTTGTTCTTTACAATGGCTAATATTACATCGACGTTTTTTTTTCTTTCAGAAGTCATTTTTAAAAGGCTTTTAATATGAGAATTTTTTTTTCTTTTTAATGTTAAAAAATTATTTCTTCCCTATATAATTTTCAGGTATCGAGAAATACTTGTTCTTGTTGATATGAAGATAAGATAATTTTCTCAATAATGGCAAAGTGCTGCAAAATACACGTATTTGCTTAGATATAAATGTTTCACCAATTTTCTTGTGAATATCAGTGCATATATATACATGTACAAGAAATTTCGTAATACTAGCATATATTGAATGGGATGATGTTTCAGAGCGGAAAAATAGCTTAGCTTTATTTGGTTTTCACCATTTTTAAATTATGTAAACAATATTACTGTTTAAGGTACAGATTTAAACTTTAAAATCAAAATGGAAAAAGTATTTAAAAAGTTAAGGATGAACAGACTGTTCAAAAATTTTGCAGTGTTCAGAAAAAAAAGCAATCTTGCTTTTAACTTGCAGAATAAAACTCGTAGAATTAAGACTCTGACTAAGAGAAACCCATCTCATTTATTCATAAGAAAACATAAAAAATTCACCAAACTCAGGTATTAAATCTGATTTGCGTTTTAGGGTATTGTTCACATGGCATTCCTCCCAACCCCCTTTTGGTAACTTAGTGACAATCCTCGTTTCATGAGCCATTCCCTACAGTATTTTATTTTTACATGGACGGAAAGCCGTTGAAATGCTTTTATTATCTCGTTAGTTCTTGAATATACAAATTCTGCAGTAAATGGAGAAATTTTCAATTTTATTTAACCGTTTTATTGGTATAAATTATGACAATCATATAAATATACGTTCCATAATTGAATTTTCCTGCGTTTGTTTGTTTTTTTTTTTTTTTAAATTTCTTCTTTTTAAAACATACTTTATTCATAAATTAAAAGGATCCTGTAACTTCTTAGATTTTACTACTTACATATTTCGGTATGTCATGAAAAATTAAATCGTAGAAAATGGTGACTCGGAGTCAGATAACAGCAATTACGGAACTAGACTCCGCAGGTTTTTATTATTCATTTCTATGCTCTTTTCTACTTCAGGAATTTGCAGATGCAACAATGTATGACTATATCATTTAAAACAATAAACTTTGGAAATTTCAGTTCATTTCTGTCATTTCTTCAAATCTTTCCACAAATGAAGTAAATGAATATTACGAATAAAATTAACATTTGTTGTTCTTAATTTTCAGTATCTATTCAACACTTATTGTCTAGAAATACAGCATTTGTAATGAACTGGTAATCATTAAATTAAGATACCACATCCTATTAAGTGGAAAAGTATGAAAAGTTTTATGGTTAAATAAATTGAATGTTTTTTTTTTTGTACAAATCATTACCAATTAAATTTCTGACATGAAAAATACTAATCCAAAACACAGAACTTCAAATTAAAGTCCCAAAATTTAAAAGCAACATATTCCAAAATAATATCAGTGTTTCCTTGCACTACCTTAAATACGATGGGGAAAAAATCTGATCATTTTGGTATCTAGGAAACAATCAACAATGGTGCATAGCAAATCGCATCCAAAAGTATGCAAAGAGTAACTCCTAGGTAACGGTGAAAATGCGAAATTAACACATGAAATTGATTTGCCCACACTTACCAACGGTGGAGGTGCTCATCTCGGTAAATTGATCCATGTCCTCGCACTGTGGGATTTTTTGTAAAATTAATTCCTCAAATTTAATTGAATTTGTGCAGGTGTCGAAACAGAAAATTTGTCAATCTATTCACTTCTAAGGGCTGGGACGCTTCTTCTTCAAAGGATATGCTCGCGAGAGCTCCGGTGAAGAAATTGAAGGCCGTTCGCGAGAGGCAAATAAATATTGGGGGATTAACTTTTTATTGGCAATAGGGGATGCGATGATTTATTTTTAAATAATTATTTATTTTCGCTTCAATGTATTAATTGCAAATTTGGGGATTTCATTGGTAGATTTGAAAAATTAAAATATTTGACGAACTCGTAAAGAAAGTAAAAGTAAGTTAATAGAAAAAGATGTGTAACATGTCATTTCGACCCTATTCTTCCTGTCCTTGTTAAAGTTTTAATTCCCTTTTTATTCTTTGAATTGTATAGTTTACGCTTGTCAAAAAGATGGGTGTAGAAATATTAAAAGTGATAATTAATTTGTCATATTTAAGAGTATTAGATCCATATTCGCATAAAACGCGTGATGTTTGAAACAACTTTTGCGATAAAATGTTATAGTCTTGTTTGTACAAATTGGTGCAAACCACGTCTTGTCAAATTTAATTAATATGATAAATAAATCCTGTTCATTAATTATTTAAGTAAAAAAATTGAAGCAAGGCAAAGCAATGTGACGTGTAACATCGTGTACATACTGAGAGAGAGAGAGAGAGAGAGAGAGAGAGAGAGAGAGAGAGAGTGTCAAAGCGACCCTTATCCACTTCAGAAACAACCGATTAAGATTTCCAGTTCTGTGCATTTTAAATAAATCCTGCCATTTATCAAGCTTCTTTCAGCTACCATGAAATGCGATTGCGACCAGCATAGCCTAAAACTGCATTCAATTTTCCTCTTGATTTCATTGCCTTTCTCCATATTGTGGGTGACAATTTATAAAACGGCCTACCTCATTATGGTTTCCGGACATTCTCTCAACTGAGCTTCTCTTACTTTTCGACATTCGTTGATATTCAATTTATTTCAGAGACTGTATTACTTTATTAAAAACCAAACAGACTAAGACGATAGCGTTTCAATCACATGTATTTGCGCACAGGACTCTTATAATGTACAGGCATCGTAGGGTATTTTTGTATGGAGCGGATATTTTCCAGTTTTTCTCGATATTTCCTGTAGTATACATAAAAAAATAAGTATAATAAATATCATTGTGAAGAAATATTCAACAAGCCTCGAGGTTTTATCTTATCGGGGGAGGGGGTGTCATGTCTACAAGACTAATACTGATTTGTACTTCTAACAAGGGAAGAGAAAAGAAGCACCTTGCTTGATTTTTGTGGAGTATAGAATCGTGACCTCAGTAGTTTTCATAAACGAGAACTGGCAAAGTCAAATTGAAAGGGTGGTGTGGTTGGATTAACATAATTTGAGAATTCACAATTTCCTTTTTGAAAGCTATATGGCAACATTAATAAGTAGATAGGGAGAGGGCGTAATAAGTTTTAACAACTTGTGCCCAATCCCTTTGTACCGGTAATTAAATTAAAATACTATATTTTCAAATCAATAAGTAGCTAGAAAAGGCTAAGTTTAGTATACGTGTCTACCACGTTTTATTGAAATTAGAACAATGCTGCATGTAGGAGTTGAAGTTTTCAAAAAAATAAAATTAAATAACATCAATTCTATATATTTTCATTATTGAAAAATCTACCGGGTAGGAGGGAAGGGGAGAAACTTGAATTTACACGACCTGAGAATGCTTCCATATATCAATATGTCCTAATTTCGGCTTTGCTCTTCTTATCCAGAAGATTTTTTTAAAAAGATTATTTCCTGAAATTATATTTCATAATTTCTCTGTTAAACTTTGATATCCCATTGTAACCCCACCCACTCCAGGATGTTTTCATATCAATATGATTAATAAAAGCTTTAAAAAAGATTTCTTCCTAAATAATCCCTGTTAAACTTCTATACCCAATTGTGGCACTTTGCGGCAAGATTGGTTGAAATTGGTTCAGTGGTTCTGTAGAATAAATCGAAAAAAAAACGTGAAAAGTTGAGTTAAAAATCTAGAAGACAAAAATATTTTTCTAACTACTCGGATATCGTTTATGTATCCTTGTGAAGTCAACTTAAACACTAAGTCTTATCTACATTATGTAATTTGAACTTTTCAACAATGATTTTCACTAAATCAAATCCCCACAAACCCATAGATTTTCCTCAAACCAAGAAAATTTGACACCATGAATATACGTGTTATACAGTAATATATTTCAACAATAATCAGAATCCATGAAAATGTTGTCTCCCTGATGTTGTTAAAGTCTATTAAACAAGTTTTCAATCAAATTACATTGCAAGATAAATGCACATGCAGTAATATATCGCATCTGTTCACAGATAAATTCTGGGATCGTCAATCAGTTTTACTGCATGAGTAGCAAATAAATCAAATGTGAAAGGGATTTACTTTTGTAGGAATTTTTTAATCATAAAACAATTCATAGTTAAGGCCATATAAAATTAATCTTTAGATTCTCATCCCCGCCCGCCCCTCTCAAAATGTCCCGCCCCGTTTTCTTTTTCTTTTTATTTTTGGGTATTTTCATGTATTTTTATTCAGTAAGAATTTGGGTCAAAGTTTAAGAGTTATCTCCCGTCTGTATTAAAAGTCGCGTGTCGCTATTTATAGCAAAAACGCCATGTGAAGAATGGAGAAAAATCGGCAATAAAAGCAGTTTAAATGTGTAAGGAAAAGATAATTTGTCAGTATAGAGAAGGCAGAGAAGAAAAAATAGCATAAACACATATAGATTCCATCACTGGCAGGAGCAAGTATGTAGAGAGATTGTAACTGAGTAAAAATAGACGAGGAAAGTCAAGTTATATATAACGATCTCCAGCTGTGTGACTAAGCTTTGAAATAAAAAAAAATCTACAACATCGTAGACAGACTTAAGAGAAGGCCTATATTTTTCAGTAGAATAATTATTAGAACATTTATATAGATTTTGCAAAATAAGAAGTCACGCATATACACAATTTATTGGTATCCCCACCTCATTTTGTTCAGGGTGTGCCGTATAATGTGTACTTGATAATTTGTTAATTAACAATAAATATTTAACTTTTAAAGCAAAATTTTTTTTTTAAATATTTAAAAGAATATGAAAAGAATTAAATCTATTCATATTTGCATTAAGGTAATGAAAAAATGTGTACGGGGCGTCCATTGTTTTGTTGATACTTAGGCCTATATATAAATTAACAATTATAAAAAATAAAAAATAAAATCCGCCCACCCGCCCCATTTTTTTTGCAAATTAGGATGAGAATCTAAAGATTAATTTTACCTGGCCTAAACAAGCTTAAAACTACATTCAATAAATTAAATACATTATATGTATATATGAAATCCCTATTCACATAATTTCCATAAAATAAACCCACAGATACATTAACTTATACAAAACACTGCATGTATTTTACAGAAATTTTTAAGTGTGTCCTGGTCATAGCAAATGCTGGAATGACTAACAACCATTTTTTTTTCAACAATACAATTTTTTCAGAAGATTGATTGAAGCATACAATAATGCCACACCAATTTAATTTCTTGTTCGTCAGACATTTGAGGAAAAAAGTATGAGCGGTCTAGCGGTTAAATAGTAATATTATTACTATAAAGTAGGCAATATTTTTAGGCGGGGCATGAAAAAAATCGAGCGGACAATTATATTTTTTCTGATTTGTAGAGTAAGCAGATAAAAAGTACGATAAATAAAGCGTAAATGGAACAGAGAACAGCACAGAATTTCAATGGTGCGGGATTTTAAAAATAAATTTATTTATATAGTTTTGTTTAAATACAAGCGCGCGGGTCCGATGAACAAAATATTGGTGTGGCCTAAATTGCAGAAACAAAAACAAAAAAAATAAAAAACAAAGATATTCTGCTTATATGGATTGTTTTCATTTAATGACATAAATTTCAGATTGTCTAGCGCTATATAGTCCCTTTGTCCTTTCAGGGTGAGGGAAATTAACCAAGTTTTTCATTTTCATTAAAATATCAAGTTTTATTACATACAAATGTTCACTAATTGTGGATTATCATATATGGAGAAGTTAAACACATAACTCAAAAATTCTATTTTATAGCATCAACAAGGAATGTTTTGCAGTGGAAACGGTATGTTTACTTGTCCAAGTCTTCATATACAAGTTTTCATTAACATCATGAACATTTATGGCAATTAAAATTTGGATATATATGTAAATGATGTATTTAGGCTTATGATTCTTTTCTTTCCAATTTCCTCCTAAATTTATAACCTTGAGAGAAGAATTTGCTTAGAGCATATGAAATAAATGCATACATTGGCCATAAATGATATTATGTTTTAGCATACAATAATTTGTTTCATTACAAGCTTATACATGTATGTTGATATGTAGGGTTTTAAAAAAGTATATTCCCAAAAAATTTGTAACAATGAATAAATGTTACATATTTTTAAATGCATACATTTTCGTGATCATTATACTTGAGATTTCTCAAAGCATTACTTTCATACCTTCATACACTGCGGATATGAAAAACCCTGCTTAAAATTTGTGTTTGAATTACTCATAGGGTAAATGCAATTGTACAATCAATTACCGTAAAACAAAAATTATTCACACACCTTGCATTCACATAAGTTATCACTGCACTTCTACATTCAATAACAGGTACACAAATTCATACACCATCACACACACTCGGACTATTTTTCCTCTGAATATACTACATGGAATTCATCACATTTCAAAGAAGTTGAACACAGACTTTGTATCACAGCTGCCAAGGTTTATAATTTGAGTTTCTTGATTTCTTCAGATCTGAAATCCACCCTAGAAAATAAAATACAACAAATATTAAATCTTCATTCTTTGAAATATTTTGTATATAAAGTGCAAATCTCACTAAATATCAAAGCAACGTACAATGCACCGATCATGCATTATGTTCAAATTTTTTCTGCAAAAACTTGGTACAAGTACAATTCACATCTTTTAATGGATAGATTTAATCAAAAATTCTGTCAAAGCAAAAAATTGCATAATTGTTTAGCTAGCCTGTTAAAAACGTAAGAAATGGTTAGAACTTACCTCAATGAGAGGATATTTCTGACTTCTGTTGGAGTCAGCCTCCAGGTCAAAGGTCCAGAATTTGGCCCCCAGTAATCTAAAATCTCATTCACCTTTAAAAAAGATAAAGTATTTAAATCAATATAAAATTAATATTTTTTTTACTGATTAGTGTAAATACATAGAATTACATAATTCACATTAAAATTACATGAAACAATTCAAAAGTACATGTACCAAATCTAAAATGTTATTAATTCTATAAATTTTATAATTTCTCTTAGCATAAAATTACACAATATAATATCTGTGAAATCAACTTACTCTTTCTAAGTTGAGTATGGTTGCCATTTGTGTCAGTCTTGCAAACTTATCCCTGATTGTCCAAGTGGTTACTGATGACAGGTACCCAACAAGGGCACGTAACTCTTTGTCAAACTGTAAACCACCCAGCTGAAATTAAAAATGTAAATTTAGGTTTGGTCTTTTTTGTGTACCGTACAAGTGAAAATTTTAGCGAGACGCAAATTTAGCGATTTGTGCATTAAAACTGGTAATTTATTTTTAGCGAGATGCAATTTTAGCGATTTTAAAATGTTCACCAAAGAAGCTTTTAGAATACAACGCAATTAATTTTTAGCGATATTAAATTTTAGCGATCACACCACCCTCGCTAATAATGCCAAAATTAAATCCTCGCTAAAACTTCTACTTATACGGTATTTTGTTGTCTCTGAACAGTACTGTGCTGTTTGAGGCTACTGAATGGTGAAAACATTTGATTTGTTCTACTTCATTTAAAATTCTAAAAGAAAGTCTTTCATAAATGATTAATAATTCAGTTGAAACATAAGCTACAAAAATATTTATTTACCAGGGTATTCTATTAATCAGTCAATTTAAGAAATTAAATTTTTGGTTGCTGCACAATAAACTAATTACTATGTGCATGTGTACACTGACAATAAGTGAAGCAAACAGGGCAAATGTAATCATCCTTTCTATCAAAAACTCAGTCTTCTTACTCTGTTAAAACTTGTTTTCTGGACAGCCTTCTCTAGCTGTGATGTCACCTCTGTGGTCACATGACCCACAAACGTGTCATAGTTCTCCGTGGAAAGAGAGCTCTGTCAAAAAAAAAGTTAAGCATGTGACCGAAAATTCACCAAATAAATGCCAGGTTTTTCTTTAATAAAATGTAGAGTGTAGATATATTGGTACTCACTTTAAAGGTGGCTAACATGCCATCTATTTGCAGTATATAGTTTTGGACCCATGGGTCATTGGCTTCATAGTTGGAGAATTCATCCTACAATATAAAGAAAATTCCAGAAATTTATATTCCATTTATATTCACATTACCATCTAATTGCATTACACTGTCGAAGAGTATATACGTATACATATTTTAAGCCCCCCCCCCCCCTTCCCCAATTAATTTCAACATAATTCTTCTGAATTGTATGCTACATGTATGTATTCCTTCTTCTCATACCATGTACTACATAGTTTTCACTAATGCTCATAGTTTTAGAATACCAGTTGTATTTCTTATGATTAAGATAAACTCCATTTAAGAGGAAGTTATAATTGATCAAATCGTACCTCTGAGATATTATGACTAGTAGAGAGGAAGGCATCTGTGAGGGGTTTTAACCGAGGTTTAATGGCACTACTGCTGAGCTGAGAAAACCCGAAATTGACCACTTCTTTTAACCGGACCGCCACATTACCAAGATCTGATACACACGTCTGAAGTGAAAACATGAAATGGATATTTATATTCAATATTCTATTGGTGAGCACAAAATTAATTTTACATTTTAAATTCCAAGTGTTTATTTCAAATTTGATTTAATCACATCTGGATACATTTTTCTTTTATCATAACACAACACCTGAAAGAGTTTATTCCAATTCTCTTCGCTCAACAATTTTCCTTTCACAAAACAGTACCTGGTTTATTTCTTACAAAATTTATCAACTGGTAACTCAAAAGATTTCAGCTTTATGCATGGATTTATGATTGAATTTATAAACAAGTATAAAGTTACCTGTAGTTTTGCTTTACTCTGGTCAGTACTTTTACTAAACAGTCTGTGAACCTCTTCCTGGAATCAGAAAATACATAATTTACACAGGTGTTGAAAATATTTCAAATACATCTCATTACATTTCCCATCTCTTTAAACCCATCATTAACTGATCATATTTATTATTTAATCATTTATATCCCTAGTCTAGAATGTTTTCTAAAACAGTGAATAGGTTGGTTCACAAAACCTCACCTCAATATTGGATTTCAAGGATTTACAATATTCACAACTGACTTCAGCATTATTCATTGCGACCTACAAAATAGAAGAAAATAATTAAAAATAAAATTTTCATCAAGAAATAAGTTTTAGAAATAACTTTTTTTCATTACATAAGAAAAGAACAGTTAAGAATATAGACAGGGGGAAAATTGATCCACTGTACCAGAAATTGTGTCTTGGCCTTTTCCTGGTCTGAACTCTGCAGCTTTCCTTGTTGTAAACTGGACTGCACCATATTGTATGCCTGAGTGAGATCAAAGCCCGAGGGAAAACCTGCCCGGACTCGGCTAAATAACACCTCTCGGAAATCCTGCTCTAACACCGTACTAGCGTGATTTAACATTGCACAAATCCCATCTACACTGGAACTTGACACAGCTCTCCTGTAAAAGGAGGGGAAAACACTTTATGTGAAATGAGTTCACAACACATTCTTAATGAAAAAATAGATTAAATGAATTCTCCAAAGCATAGAATTCTACATAGAGCAATAACATTTAAGATTACAATAAACAATTCATTAAACGTGCACAGGAAATGTAAATTTTGATGACATTATAAACATGAGAAAAGGATTTTGCATGGATCTTTAACTTTTAAACCCCAGTTGTGTAAAAAAAAAAAAGGAGAGTTTTAATGGCACATACCTAACACACTTTTTAACTATAAAGAAGGAATCATCTACCATACTAGATGTATGTGTCGACTCATCTTCTGTATCCATGGAAACAGCCTAAAACAAATGATGTATATACATTTTATTCATCAAAGTATACCACATATCTATCCATTTATCATTATTCATGAATATAAACAAGTACAATTTAGAATTAGATAATCATCAATTCAATTCACTTGTTATCCCCTCACAATGGAGGGGATATAGTAATGCAATTGTGTCTGTTTGAGGGTGATTTCTTTAGCAAAACGGGAATGAAGTAATTTGCATCGGGATCAAATTAAATGCTGCCTCAATTTATAGATATGCTCTTTGTGAGGGGATGCTTTGCTTTGCCCTTGTTTATTTCACCTTTAAAAATTAATCTACTTTAAAAGAATTGCATTGCTCACATACACATTTTTTAATCCTTGAAATGTTACTCACCTTTAGAACCATTTCCCTCATAAAATATTCTTCCATCATGATGTAATTTCCTATTAGTTCTTGCATAAGACGATTTAAATCACAGTTGGATATAAAACTATCTATCTCTTTAACTTTTTCTGCAATAAAAATTCAAGTTTAAGTACAAAAAAGAGTAGAAAACAAAAAAATACTTTGCATTTCTGAGTTCCATTGACAAAAAATATAATAATTCAGAAAAATTTGCAAGAATTACGTAATAAGAGGAATAAATTGTTTTTGAGGTTTAGAAATAATTATCAAATGCAATACATGCAGTGTTTTACTGTGCTAACTTACCCTTAAGAGTTTCATCACTATATGCTAATTCCATGTCACCCTGAAAAAATTAAATTGAATCTCATTCAATTAATTTCAGAAAATTCATTTAATGTATACCTTTAAATTTACTATTAAAGAATAGTAAAGTAAATGTATAAAATTGCTAGCTTTGGATTTTAAAAATAAATACAAAGAATGTTTCTAAATCATGTTGCCTTGCATGAAAATACTGATGATCAATATATATCTATAAGGAAAGTATATGCACTTATCAAGTTACCCACCACTGCCCTCCTCCTGAAAAATCGTAGGTAGAGTTCTGTTCTGGTATTTAGTAGCACCATCTCGGATAATAATACATCTAATACTTTAGGATCAAATCTGAAAAAGATAAAGTTTTATATTCAGAGATGTTTATAGATATAATTAATTGCAGTACCATTACAACAAAAACAAATGTACATGTATATTGAAAGTATTCTTGAGTTTTAGGTAACTTATAACAGTAACTTATTGTTGATAAATTAAATTTTAATATGCATATTTTAGCAGCATTTATCAACCTTTACAAGTCTAAAATTGCCAAATCTAATCAAACATTTTTTTTTGCTTGGATCCTCCTATTTTTCTCTCCAAAATAGCTCATTACTGTTTCTAGATTTCTATTCCATAAAGTTTTCCCTACTTAAAATGCTCATTGCTGCTTACTTTTCTGTTGCATTAGGTCGATGAAAAACAGCATTCTGTTGCACATGCTGGACCTACAATAAGAAATTTTTTTTGTCTCAGTATTTCTCATTAAACAACTGTATAAAGAACTGAAAAAAATTATATGACACTTACCACTGAATCAAAATCTCTTTTTAATTTAAATTTTTCTAATATCTGCCTAGCTTGTCTGTCACATTCTTTCTGGAGAATTTTCATAAGGTAAAATAGCTTTCCAGAGCCTGCAAAAAAAATTAGCATAAAGAAGTTAAATTACCATGAAAAAGTGGTTGAGACTTCCAACTCAACCCAGCATGTCAATGATGTTCAAAATACAAATATATTGGTATTGATGTTTGACAAACCTGTTGAATTACTGTATACAGGGTTATTTTCACCCCATGTTATTTTCGCCCTTTCATGCTTGCAAACAATTTTACCCCGTTTTAAATTCGCCCAGTCAAAGTTTTGTTGAAATTATACTGAATTGTTTCAATTCGCCCTGTTTTAAATTAAAGGAGCGAAAATAAAACGGGGGCGAAAACCTTTCCCTGTATGCAGTAAACCCTATCACTCATTCTGTTACAGTAGTAAGTTCTAATGGTACATAGGCTGTCTCTACTAAATTTACCAAAATAAGTCTCCACTAGTGGTTGCCTAACTTCTATAATACTGGCGATTCCCTCAAACAGCTGTGTGGCAGTCTCGGCATAAACCACATTGGCATTCTTGTCTCGACTGGACATCGATTCCGCAATTTTCAAATTGCCACTGCTTTTCTCAGATATCTGTGAATAACCAAAAATACAGTATAAAAATTCAAAAATTCAAAATCAAAATATATCAGTTCAAATTGACATTCCCAAAGATTTTTTTAACTGTGACATTTTATGCATCAGAAATTTGAAGTCAGTAAATCGTGAATCAAAGAGATGAATTGGTGAGAGAAAAAAATACTGTCTTCATAATACTGATTGTCTGCTAAGAGTACTTTTAACAATATTAAAAACAAAATTAAAATCTAAATATTTCAAATTTACCTGTACAGACAAGAACTTCCCAAATTTTGTCAATCCCTCCTCGTGCAGCCCAATGAGAGGAAAGATCTTGAAGAATCTCTCTATGGAGGCGAAATCTCCCGTGTGGACGGCAGCATCAAACTTGGTGTTCACGATGGATTTCAGCTTCTCCTCCGCCTCTTGTAGAAGCTTGAAGGACATATCCAGGGTGTTCCCTGTTGAATGAACAGTTTTAGTCATCAGATTTCTAGAGAACTACCATATATGGTTGATTCATATGGAGTCAGTACTTTTAGAAGACTACATGTTTCATTTAGATGCAGACATTCTTTAATTTTACTTATGGTAATATTTTTTTTTTTTTACATTTATGAGCATTATTAATTGTTTTAAAATCTTCAATCTTACATTCAGTACTAGAGATATTCAACTGGAAAAAATATTTTTCTTACACAATGGAAATTTACCCTACCTTCCCCAGATTCTTCAGACATTCGTAGAATGTTTTCGTCTAAACTTCTAAATCTGTGAACATGACCTGCTGCCTGAAGTGAATATGAAAAAGGAATCTTATAAAACTGCCAATAATATACAAAATATCTTGTTTTTTTTTAAAATCTAAGAATCAAGATTGTGCGTATTTCAAAAAGAAAATTATACTCATAACAGCACTCATATAACAACACTTGCTTATTTAGCTAAGAAGGAAGGTAACATAATATTCCAACTTTATTCTTTTGCTAGAAAACTACGCAAAGGTGCTTTTCTCATAAACGTCATATAGCATCCTACATTTGTGAGAAAATCACTCATTTTGTAAGGACGATTCTACAAAAATAATTTACTTTCTATATCTCTTTTTACATACCTTTTCATAGTCCTCATTCTGAAGAGCTGTCTGTACCCCATCTGTACAAAACTTGAGATCCAGAATATCCTCAACTCGAGTTATACAAGCTGTAACTTGGCTCTACAAGTTACATAATAATGAATTTAACACCTTCTATAAACTGCATATCAAGAACATAATTAGAGACATGAAATATTCTTGTAATATATTAAATATGAAGTACTTACTTTAGCGACATCCAACTGTCTCACTTTGCTGCTGACATTTTCAGCGAGGGTGGAGGTAAAGGAAACCATACTGGAGAGTTGTTTGGAATCTGTCTCCAGAATCTGAAGATTAGGTCTGAAAACGGAAAATGTGACAAATATCAACATGATTTAAACAGGAAATCTTTTAATTTTCATAAATTAACTCAGTTATCTCTTTGAAAGACAGCATCTGCAGCAGTCATTTTCCATTTCAGTTTAGAGAGTGTTTTTCTACAAAAAAAATGCAGCTGACATTAATTTCTAATTAAACAAATCATTACTTACAATATCTTATGCAGACCACTCATCCTATTTTCAAGTGTTGATTGATGTTCTAAAAGATTGTCCAACTCTGTGTTCATTTCCTCCTGCAAAGTCCAAAAATGTCAATTTTAAATTGTTAGGCTTTTTTTTTTTTTTTTTTTTTTTTTAACATTTATAGCATTTCATAAGAGTTGTTTCATTCAAATAATAAACAATTTATGCAAATACGAGTACAAGTTATTAATACATTACTTCAATAAGTGTATAAAAATCCTTCCAGATTTTAGGTAGGTCTTTGACATTGGTACCCCTATTCTTATAAAATACTTCAAATCTTTAAGTGTCCCAAGATAAGTATTTTGATACGTCTTACTCTTTTTAGGCCCCCAATTTATACCAGGTCTGGCACAATCTCCTGATTAAGCAAATCAGCTATAAAGCAATTTTATCATACTTTTTTGTAAATGTGGAATTTTTTCAGGCTATAAATAAAAGACGCATCTATAGGAAGAGTATAACTAATTTTTAAATTTGAGCTTATCAGAAAACAGTGCATATAAAAAAAATCAAATTGAATCTTCCTTGAGATACTTTGTTTGAGGGTTTTATTTTTAAGCAACTGAGTTGTGACCACATTTATTTTGTGAATGAATTTATACAGAGGTCAATTATGGCCAGCAAGGTAAATTACAGGTTATCGTGATTATTCAGCACAATGTCATGTACTGCGTAAGTATATTTGGCCATGCCTCACTCCACACAAGGTGGAATACAGTAATATAAACAATGGAAATTTATATACCATATAAGTGGAAATTTTAGCAAGACACAAATTTAGCATTTTGCCCTTAAAAATTGGTAGTTTAATTTTAGGGAGTATTTTTATGTATATAGCGATTTTAAATGCCCAGCCAAGAGGCTATGACGACAAAAACGCAATTAAAGTTTAGCAATATTCAATTTTTAAATTATAGTGATCTCAGCATCCTCACTAATAATGCCAAAATTAAATCCTCGCTAAAAATTTTGCTTATACAGAATCTTGCTGAAAGGTATTCAAAATCATTAATGTTTAAAGAATGTTCAATTCAGACTGCCTATTTGAATAGCGAGTGCAGCCAGCTCTTACAACAATGTCTTGGCAAAGAGGAAATTTAAACTGTACACAATAATCAAAACTATTGTTTTCCGCAATTACCTCTGGACTCCACAATCATAAGTTATACCCCATAACGGTTTCCATACTTGCCAACCTCCAGCATGTAAAAATCTGGTCATGACCAGATTTGGAAAGTAAAAAATCTGGTCATAACGCGTAACGACATTCACGACATATTTACCATGATTAAATTTTATACATATATATACAAAGTATTTGTGTATTCAGAATTCTTTTATTGAAAAAGGATTTAATTTACTATGACAAAAAATTCATACATAATTTGATTTAATTTACATGTTAAAAATGAGAATTGAAGGTTTCATATTTCAGTACTGACCTGAAGTAAGTGTGCATTTTTTTTTTTAAAAGCCTTTTTCAGTTTCTGCTAAATTGGAAAGTATACCAATTTCAGTTTTGAAGTTATTTTTCCTCTCTCTTAATGAATTAACTACTACAACATGTTTTAAATGTGAAGTTAGGCCTACACTGTTTTCAATCACTTTAATTTATCTAGAATGAAAGTTTTTTTCCAAGATTCCTTGATATGTACATAAATATCGTTTCTCTTTTTCTTGGTTCAATCAGAGACATGTGTTTGGTTAAATTTGTTCCTGTTGGCCCTGATAATGATCTACTTCTATTGGAAGCCATTTTAATTGACTTCAAACATTGATTTGTCAAAACAACACCCAGTTAATATATTGTTTACACCTGCATTGATAATTAATCCATCGGCATTGTTTACGTAGATCTAAGCTTGGGTTGTAACTGGAAGTTAAAAGTGCAACCTACTTTACGAACCAAATCCGGAATTCGGGAGATTTTCGGGTTGTTCAGCAAAAATTGGGTGATAAGCATGACCCGCCGGGTCATAAAAAATAATCGGGTTACAGGTTGAAAAATCGGGTGTGACCCGACGAAATCGGGTGAGTTGGCAACTATGACGGTTTCACCTTCAGCATATAGTCCCTGTTACATATATGAGTAGTCGTATACCTGCGTCTTTTTGTCTATTTCTTATTGCAATAGTTTTATCAAGCTCAAAAAAGCTACACAGCTAGCTCATTTTATATAGCTAAATCAAGAGATTGTCATGACTGTCTTGGTCATGTTCTCCTGTCCAATGCAAAAATTTTGGTTATTTTTTTTAAAAAGTGTGGGGGAAACAACGTTGATCAATTGTAACAGGCAGAAAGAAAGACGAAAGGCAATTAAAAAAAAAATTAACAATATGATCAAAAGACGTGTTTACAAGCAAATCATGATAACCGGTAAGTGTTTGGGAAGTGTCATGTGAACTTTGCAGGGTCAGACAGAAGATAACGTTCTTGACATATGACCAAAATATAAGTTTTTCCTGTAAATTACCTCCTCTTTACATAATTCATCAAAAGCATTTTGAATATCAACCATGTTCACAAGGTTTTCGACCCCCTCAAAGGTTGGGAGGGACGTGGCATCACTCCTGGACGCCGCCATCTTTGAAACGCCAATGCATGATGGTCTAGCTTAACTTCCGGAAAAATTGTCGGTAAACCATGGACCGCTTGTAAAATGTAATGTAAAATCAACCATCATCCTTGATATGACAGCGTAATCGTAATTAATGCAATTGGTATGTGATAGTGCATGTAGTGTTTAGTTTTTTAAGTTGTAGCGAGCTACAAATTTCGTTCTTACATACAAACTGATACTGTAAACAATGGCGTTAGCGGCTTACCATTCTGCACTTTCTTTTTCATTGAGATGTGTAATAATTCGCCCTTTGAAACTTTTGAATAAGAAGAAATTTTTGCATCTTATATTTAATAAAATACAATATTGAGAAGGTAATGTTATTAGGGAGAAGTGTCTTTCTTTCAGGATTGGTTAAAGTTCGAATTTTCTCGGGTCATATAGTCCTTCAGTCTTATTTTAATCACTTATCAGTTTCTAGTTCTTGAAGTCTTTTTTTGTCGCTGTCAGTCATTTGGACTGACTGCCATGTGAAGTTTGTCAGTCCAGACAGATTTCTATCAGTCCAAATAAATTCAGTGTAAAGATGAAAACTGTAACTGCATTTTATTATCAATAAACACTGCACACTTAATTCCGAATTGATCGTCGTATAACAGTTTTCTTTGAATTCTCATTGGGGTCGAATTTCTTCATAAGTTTTTAATCTTGTTTGATTTTCTCATCTGGCTGTATACTTCAGCGCCGTCAACCAACATGTTTTTACAGTTATCCAATCATAGTTTGGCACTAGTGTTCATAATGAATAAGCCATAAAAAAAAATACAGAAAAGCATTCGAAAGATTACGATTGGTCAGTTTTGAGAATTCGTACTTAAATAGGATTTTTGCAAGCTGCTATGTCATAACTTACTAGTCATTTGGAATGTCGCAGAACACAAAGTAAGCGGTCCTTGATTGTTTTTATCGGTTTTGCCGACAGGACTGAAAGATTTCAAGAACTCTGTCAGTCACAGGAGTTTGCAATTTAATCAATAAAGTCCATAGAACAGAGGTCATGAGCTACTTGCTATACCAATGATTAGTTCATGGCTTGATCAATCAAGTAATTTCTATTGACTTTATTGGTAAAACTGCAACTACTGTGGATCGGTAATCATGCATTCATGGTAATATACGAGCTAGGTTCACTTTATGTATTAAGAGGACTTGTAGGTATACCAGATTATTAAGTTATACCTTATGTCCCATTTTCACAATAATATACAATAGAGACAATTCAGAGTTTCAGTTTGTATTAAAAGGTTTCTTCCAAAGAGTCCAGGCAGGGTTTGGAAAACAGGTAGTGTAGTTGCAAATTTTCTTAAATTTTGCAGAAAACGGATGTTTTGGGGAACATTTAGCAAAGAATAAAACATAAGCATACCCCTCAACTCTGAAAAAAGCTTTATAATCTTCATCAGCAGTTAATATAATATTTGGAACATTTTGGCTCGTAGGTTGTGCTGTAAATGAAATATATGTAATGGGATAGCGCTTAATGGCTATCCCACTTCTGACACCAAAAATTGTAGCAAGATAGCGTCCAACGACTATCTCATTTAAGTATTACTATAGTGGTTCTAGAAGACAGGAGTAAACTCCCTTTTTAAACACTGAGTAAATAACTCTAAATCGAAATTTAAGTTTCATAAATTTATTGAGTCTGCAAAACAATATAAACAATTTTAACACAAAAAAATAATAATATCCTGGCCTTTTAACCACCCTTTTTACTGACAAAGTTCACAATATTAGATAAATCCTAATAAACAGCCGGATCTCGAAATAATCGAAATATATGGCTGAAACCTACCTACTACACTTAATTATCAATGAATAAAAGATTATTAACGACTGGAAATTCAGATACGATCGGATCCTGAAATAATCAAGATATATGATCGTAAATTAATCCCCAAAAGCTGTTAAAATTAAACTTTTCCAATTAAATTAAACCATTTACCGAATTACAATTAACTGATTTAACAATTAGCAAATAATTACCAATTTTGTCTAAAAGCCCAAAATAATAATGTTAACCCTAACATCAAAAATAGCAGACTCCCCGATTTACGGAAGAATCTCCCCTTATATACTCTATTAAAAATTCGTATACAAAACTCTTACAAATTCGTATAAACTCTTACGAATTCGTATAAATTCTTACGGAATATACGAAAAATACGGAAAATCTTATACGGAAAATAGTTCCATTAAGATAATTAGAACAATAATAATTATTTCACCATAAAATAACTTGACTTTAATTCATTCAACAATAATTAATTAATTAATTACCTTATAACTGTACATTTTCACTTCTATACAAAACTCCAGGGCGTATAAATATACACCGCGGATCAAGAGTAAAAATAAACCGGAAGTAATGCAATACGCCACCATGTAAATAGAAAAATAGACTGTCTGCAATACTACAACACATGTCTGCACAATACAGGTAAAATACCAGTGAAAAGCATAATTTAAACAAAACATCTAATAGTTCATACTCTTTTAACAGCATTTATACAATTATTTCAACAAGGACATCATTAAATACGAAAGGATATGCATGTATTACATGTACTCGTTCTACTTTCACTTTGCATACGATGACATGAAAAGCTGTGAATCCAATTTTTGAACTTCACATAATAAATGTACAATACAAACGATCAAATTACTCAAATCGTGAACCATATAAAGTGTTAAATTAGTATGACAAGCTTTGTAATTTAAAGACAAATAAAACATGGGGGACTTGAAATGACCAAACTTTACATTACCCCTCCGTTTAAAGATTCATGTCCTCATGAATAATAATACTATGGCAATGCCATTACAAGTAAAAAAAATGAAAAATATGTACAGTTCATGAGATTGTGATCATTAATAACAAAATAACATTCATAACAAGTTATCAACATGTAAACTGCTCATCAATTCACTCATAAAATTTTATATAATATACATCATGTTCACCTCAACGGTACCTTAATATGTTATACCTTTATAACATTTTACACATATACAGTCATGTCTGTATTAACAAAAATCCACCCCTAGCCCACTTCTACTGAAATAGTTTACCCAAATGTACATAGATTATGCAAAACACTAACAAAACAAATTGAATTTAATCTTAACAATAGTTTCCTTACTTCCTCCTATTAAATTCTGCCTGGTATCTTAGATAATGATAGTTCCTCTGCCTTACTGGAGACCTGGATCTTCTTGTAGATTGATGCGCAAAGTCATTCCTTGTAGGTCAGTTAGGTTCACTCTTGACTGTTTGTTGACTAGTATCCACTGCTCTAATCCGTTGATCCTGTCCCTCAAGGCCACATGTTTCCAAACTCTGGCCAGGAATATGGAAACAGGGACCCTGTTCCACACCGGATCTCTGCAAGAAAGAACCACACATTTCAAAAGATCCCCTCCGACATATAAATCTGTATCCATCCCCTTTCGTATTGTTCAATTGAGAAGAGTTATTCCCCTTTTGGGAGTTTTCAGTCAACTGTATCCTTCTAGTTTGCTGGTGACTTTGTTCAGAGATGCTTTCTGAAGACAATATCACTTCTACATTTTGAGGATCTACAAGTTCAGCTTCCCCTAAAATTTCATCTTGTTTGATAATAACATCTGTCTTGAAGGGATTCATTACCCTTATCTTTGCGCAAACTTTATTTTCTAAGTCTGTCAAACATGACGCCATCAGAGGAGAAAATCTATTGTTGAAATCTTCTGAAGGTTCAATACAAAACACATAGTAAGGTAAATTCTAGTCACTTTCAAACCTGTCAACAAAAACATCAATTAATTGCTCACTGTGTGCAGGAATTGTAAAATTCTCAGCATCTAAGACCCTTCTAGTTTTCTCTGTCAGTTGCCTGAACTTCCTCTGAAAGTAATGAAATTATCATGTAATTCTATTTTAACAGGTCCATTTTCTTCTTTTAATAAAATATCTAATCCTAAAAGAGCTTCATCTTGAATTTCAGCCACAATAATTTCCTCTGTGAATTTTACGTGGCCCAGTTGAACTTCAAAAATGGCTTTACCCAACTCATTCAAGGGTTCCCCATTAACACTAGTTAATGAATTTGACTGTTTTAGTTGTGGTCTTGATTCTCTGGGGATTCTTTCAAAAATACTTTTAGATATGATTGACCTTGTAGCTCCTGTGTCAGTGGTCCATTCTATTTCTACACCCTGTACGGAACCACTTATATATATGCCAGGACTCCCATTTATCTGCCTGAGGATGTATTCAAGTGAGGAACCATGGTGCTGAAGATCTTCAGAATTAGTACATTCCTCTTGTACTGGTCTACAGGAATCTTCCTGACCACACCTGTGGATTTCATCTGCAACAAAATCATGACTCAAACTTGGATAATCAAACAAAAGTGAATTGCAGTTTACCTGATCTGCATTTACATTTAACGCTGGGCAGTCCACCTGACTATCTCCCAGGTTACATGTACCATCCCAACAGTCTACCTGACTACTATCAAGGGATTCAGAATTTGGATCCACCCCCCAGTCTTCCTGACTGAATCCATGACTTGCTATTCCAGGTACCACCCCACAGTCTATCTGACTGCGTCCAAGACTTGCTATTCCAGGTACCACCCCCCAGTCTTCCTGACTGAATCCATGACTTTCAAAATCCGGCACCACCCCATCCGGCTCCACTCCGAGCACTAAATTCAGCTGCTGTTCAGCAGTATGAAGTTTGTCCAAGTTTGTGTTACACCTATCCACTGTCATGATATTTGTAGAACCTTTTCCTTCAGCACCAGGGTTGTCCTCTATTTTCTTTTGACTAGAAATAGGATAATTGTTGTCAATATTAATAGAACAATCAAGAGTTGGGCCATTTTCAAAATTCAACTGGGTCATCTCTAGGCCAACAGAGCTGACCCGATTTAGTTTAACGAAGGCTTGAAGACATTTGCACCAGGATTTAATGGTGCATTATCATGCATCACTTCTTGCTTTTTCTCACTGGAGCAGTTTCTGGCAAAGTGCCCTTGCTCACCACATCTAAAGCAAATAAGAGGTTTCCTGGGTCGTTGCACTTGACTTCCACTGTTGGACTGAACTGCAGTTAAAACTTCTTGGATGACCTGTTTCAGCTCAGTTTTTGTTATAAAATCTGACTCAGATCCATTTTGGCCTTGCTTATCTAAGTTACTAGAGGGGCTCTTCCTTTTGGGTTCTTTGTGTTGACCACTTTGATCCCAACCTTTTGTATGGGTTTCACTATCCTTGTAAGAAGTTTCTCCCTGTGACAATTGATCCTTACTGCTGAGCACTTGTCTCACAGGTCCTCTGCAGGGAGCATAATTTTGTCCATCATCCGCTGTAGGGTATCTAGTGGCTTCCTCGTACTCAATGACAAACTCCGTAGCCTCTTCAATAGTTAAAGGATCCCGGTTCAATTCTACATGTAAGCGAGCTTTCTCACTTGATAAACCAAGTAAAAATCTGGAAACTAAGTCCTCTTGTCTTGTTTTGTTACCCCTATCTGGATAGGCCTTATTGTATAGACTCTTAAGTTCAACCGCATAATCCTGCACAGATTCTCCATTTTTCTGGTCTCTGCGTCGAAATTTAGTCTGATAGGTTTTGTTGGTCTCAATAATACCAAAACGACTTTCTAATTCTTTGAGGAGTTTCTTATAATTGGACAAAATTGTTGGTCCAAGCTCCTCAAACACAAACTCACCTGCATGACCTTGTAACCTTGGCAACAGTTGACCTAATTTTTCTTTGTCTGTCCAACCATTGTGTTGAGCTACTGCTTCAAACCTGTTTATATAAGCTTTCCACTTCTCATCAGACTCTCCTTTAAAGGCTGGATGTTTTACTGATATTGGAATTTCTGTTACCACAATATCTTTGGGGTTGACATGGATCCACTTGACCGTGCTGTTTTTCCATCATCAGTGTCCGAGTCCTCATCAAGATCAGTGGTAGTATAACCAGTGGCTAATGGTAATCTCATCCTTGATGTCTTTCTGCTCACTCTGCAGACTGATGTAGGTTTCCTTCGGATTTTACTTCTCCCTCTAAGTCCTTGATCATCTCCGTTGGTTTCTCTTTCTTGACTGGCTTGACTGTCTTGGTTGGTATTGCTAAGGATCTTACCTAAATCACCTGTCATCCTGTGGAAGGCGCTATTGATTGTTTGGCTGAGACTGTCAATTATACTACCTTCATTGATAGTGACTTGATCCTTTTGAGTACGTTTTCCTTGGTTGACTTGGCTGACTTGGTTTGTGTTACTTACAACCTTACCTAGATATTCAGTCATTCTGTTGAAAGCTCCATGGATAACCTGACTTAGACTGTGAATTAAACTCTCATTCATATTTCCTAACTCACCCTTTTGATTTGCGTGATCTCCCTCAGCCAAAGAAGTCATTTGACTATGATATGGGACATTACCTGGACCAGTTTTAGTACAAGTTGTGTGATTACTGTTTGTACCAGTAGAAGTTCCACTCAAGCCTAAGCTTGCAACTTTGTGTGGAGTCTGTACTACAATCTTTGGGGAAAGTACCCTTTCATGTGTGGGGCATATGTACTCATTGACTACTTGGTCATCTTCCGATTCTGTCAAGTTCTCCCCATCACTTGTTTCAGTGAGGTAATGTATCTCATGGGTTGTTGGCTTTGGTGCCACATTGATGATTTCCTTTGTCTCTGATTTATTTATTTCATCCTCCGTCATATTTCTATTCTCTTCTCCATGAAGAGCTGCTTGACGTCTGGTATACATGACTCAGTGGTTAAATATTAAAGAACCAATTCTAAAGATGAGTTCGTATCTCTGGATCCACTCCTAAAACTTGTGGATCCCACTTCTGACACCAAAAATTGTAATGGGATAGCGCTTAATGGCTATCCCACTTCTGACACCAAAAATTGTAGCAAGATAGCGTCCAACGACTATCTCATTTAAGTATTACTATAGTGGTTCTAGAAGACAGGAGTAAACTCCCTTTTTAAACACTGAGTAAATAACTCTAAATCGAAATTTAAGTTTCATAAATTTATTGAGTCTGCAAAACAATATAAACAATTTTAACACAAAAAAATAATAATATCCTGGCCTTTTAACCACCCTTTTTACTGACAAAGTTCACAATATTAGATAAATCCTAATAAACAGCCGGATCTCGAAATAATCGAAATATATGGCTGAAACCTACCTACTACACTTAATTATCAATGAATAAAAGATTATTAACGACTGGAAATTCAGATACGATCGGATCCTGAAATAATCAAGATATATGATCGTAAATTAATCCCCAAAAGCTGTTAAAATTAAACTTTTCCAATTAAATTAAACCATTTACCGAATTACAATTAACTGATTTAACAATTAGCAAATAATTACCAATTTTGTCTAAAAGCCCAAAATAATTATGTTAACCCTAACATCAAAAATAGCAGACTCCCCGATTTACGGAAGAATCTCCCCTTATATACTCTATTAAAAATTCGTATACAAAACTCTTACGAATTCGTATAAACTCTTACGAATTCGTATAAATTCTTACGGAATATACGAAAAATACGGAAAATCTTATACGGAAAATAGTTCCATTAAGATAATTAGAACAATAATAATTATTTCACCATAAAATAACTTGACTTTAATTCATTCAACAATAATTAATTAATTAATTACCTTATAACTGTACATTTTCACTTCTATACAAAACTCCAGGGCGTATAAATATACACCGCGGATCAAGAGTAAAAATAAACCGGAAGTAATGCAATACGCCACCATGTAAATAGAAAAATAGACTGTCTGCAATACTACAACACATGTCTGCACAATACAGGTAAAATACCAGTGAAAAGCATAATTTAAACAAAACATCTAATAGTTCATACTCTTTTAACAGCATTTATACAATTATTTCAACAAGGACATCATTAAATACGAAAGGATATGCATGTATTACATGTACTCGTTCTACTTTCACTTTGCATACGATGACATGAAAAGCTGTGAATCCAATTTTTGAACTTCACATAATAAATGTACAATACAAACGATCAAATTACTCAAATCGTGAACCATATAAAGTGTTAAATTAGTATGACAAGCTTTGTAATTTAAAGACAAATAAAACATGGGGGACTTGAAATGACCAAACTTTACATATAAAATATAGCAACATCTTTTGACCATTTGTAAGAAATACACTGTATACACGTCTAGCAAAAGTAGCAAGAAAATTGTGTCATTTTTAGTAGATATTACGCCAACAAGTGTTCAAGTGATATTTATTGCCTTGTTGACTAAAACTGTGCAGTTTTGATTTTTCAGAAAGTGTCCCTTTCTATGTTTACTAGTCTCAGATAAGTATTTTGAAAATTCAATTGATGTGTTTGCATGATTTATAAGCATTCTTTTCCTTTTGCAGAAATAGCCAGCCATGTTTCTGTACAACTTAACCTTGCAGAGGGCCACAGGGATAAACTGTGCTGTGCATGGCAATTTCTCTGGATCAAAGCTTCAGGAAATCATTGTTTCCAGAGGCAAAATTCTAGAGCTTCTGAGACATGACCCGAATACAGGCAAAATTTATCCTGTTTTATCAGTGGAAGTGTTTGGAATGATCCGCTCACTTATGCCATTCAGACTGACGGGTGGATCTAAAGGTAACATCAGATACACACAGAATTCTTGTGATTTTGAACTTTGATTATTGATTTACAGGGGTCTTACACATTTTTGGTGCAGAGAGTCTGAGAGACTGGTTCTTATTTAAATTGGTAAAATTAGGTGTTTGGGAGTTCAAATCAACATAAAAAAATTCAGAAATTGTAATCACATTTTATATTCCTGCTGTTTTGTTAAGTGATCAATCAAACAATGTCATAATGGTAATGGGAGCAACCAATGAAGACAGTAGAGAGTGCTGATTCCTAATGAGTGGACCTTTACCATAATTCTCATGCAGAATCTTGACTGTCTTAAAAGATGAAGGTTTCTAATTCGCAATTTCTCTTGCAGATTATGTTGTTGTTGGTTCTGATTCTGGCAGAATTGTTATTCTGGAGTACATTCCACAGAAGAATACATTTGAAAAGGTATGGTGTAAATGAAACAGATTTTTTAAAAAAGATAAATCTGCTGTTGTGATTTACAAAATTAATTTACAGTTCTATATTTTATTCTATTTCTTTCTTTATTCAGGTGCATCAAGAAACTTTTGGAAAGAGTGGATGCAGAAGAATTGTGCCAGGACAGTATTTAGCTGTCGATCCTAAAGGCAGAGCTGTCATGATAGGTTTGTTTTATCTTGCACATGAACATAGAGTTAAAAAAAATTAATTCCAAAGACTTTCAACTTAATATCTTCATTTGACATAGACAGGAATTGGATTAAGTTAGAAAATTGTCATGAAAAAGATGGCTATTCGACAATACATATCATTAAATGAAATATCTGTCCTCTTGTTTATTTCAGGTGCTGTGGAAAAACAGAAACTGGTGTACATTTTGAACAGAGATGCCTCAGCTAGACTGACTATCTCTTCTCCATTAGAGGCACACAAAGCCAACACATTGGTGTACCACATGGTGGGGGTGGATGTTGGTTTTGAAAATCCTACTTTTGCCTGTTTAGAAATTGACTATGAGGTAAATAAAGTCTTGCGTCTCTTTGGATTTTTTTTTCAGCAGAAAGAAAATTTTAAAAAGTATAAATGTTATCCCTTACTTTGTGCCTTGACCTTGAATTTGTACTGTGTGATAATTATGACACTTGACAATGTAAGTACATGTGTAAATCTGAAGTTCAGCGTGTTAATGACAATATTTTGTTTTTTAGGAGGCAGATATGGACCACACTGGAGAGAGTGCTAAGAACACACAGCAGCTGTTGACATACTACGAGTTAGACTTGGGGCTCAATCATGTTGTCAGAAAATACTCAGAAGCTCTGGAGGAGCATGCCAACTTTCTCATCTCTGGTAAAAATAATAACATGTATGGGGAATAGTGATGCAATATTATAAATGATTAGGAGTCGAGTACAGTGATTATAATATACATGTATTTTAGGGCTGAAACGATACACCCCCTCCACGATACGATATGTATTGCAATACTTGTGTCACAATTCAATTTTTTCAATACGATACAATTTAAGTAAGAAACTATTTTTCATAAGGTTAAAGAAAACATATTCAGATTTTTTAAAAAAAAGTAAAAGGTGGTGATACGATAGAGATATACTACCAGGGGTATGCAATTTAAAAATTCAAGTACTAGCCCACAGGCTGGTGGGAGCAACTAATGTTGAAAAAAAAAATCTTTGAAAAAGTCAGGGTACTAAGGTCATTAATCATATAAAATTAATGATTATGAAAGAAAATAAATTTATCTGAAGATCTTCCCTTTTCTGTTTATTTTGCACTTGCTCGTTTAGAATGAAATTAAATTCATTTTGTTTTCATATTAAATCATTCAATACAATAGAAATATATTTCATGTGAATCACAAAACACTGATCTTTCAGTTGATTGACTGATCGTAAATAATTTAACGAGATATCTGCATGAATTTACAATAAACGGATGAATGGGCGAAATTTGGACTAGGAAAAAACGATCGTTTTTGGAAGTAAATTAGTCAGGTAATACTGCAAAAAGGAGAAAATTATGGAGATATGTTGACAGTAGGAGCATGCTGCCTGGAAAATATTCACTGGTTGGGAATTTGATAGCAAAATATGAGTAAAAATACCGGTTGTGCTTTTCATATATAACGTGTAGTTACAATTTTTACTAGCCCGAATTTACTAATTTGTTAATTGCACATCTCTGATTACTTGTGGTTCCGTTGATTAAGAACACTTTATCTGTATAAATAATAGGAGCGGCAGCCTCCTCTGAAACTTTACCGTCCAAATTTTCTCACTCATGTGTGTGTCAAACTATTAAAACAAGGTCGAACCCGATCTATTTCAAAGAGTTAACCAAACCCGATTATAAAAAACGTATCGAACCGAAAATCGAGATGGTGAATCGAACATTGAACCGAGCACTTATATCGAACAATATCGATATTTCGGTGAATCGTTTCAGCCCTAATGTATTTTCAATGGGTAAAATTTTCATGGTTTGAGGAAAAAATATGGGTATGTGGAGATTTAATTTTGTGGGTGAAGAATTGTTGAGTAGTTATGATTGTGAAAAATGAAATTTCATGGTGAACATAAATTCATGGGTCTCTTCATACCTCCTTGAAACCCTCCATAAAAATAAGTGAATTCACAGTACAAAATTTTGAGTTCAGGGAAGAAATTGAATGTGTTGTCTGTTGAAGTTACATACGGTATGAATGCGTAGATATCTTTTTCATTATTTTTTTTACAGTCCCTGGAGGGAGTGATGGTCCCAGTGGAGTGTTGATCTGTTCTGAGAACTACATCACATACAAAAATCTTGGAGATCAGCCCGACATCAGATGTCCTATCCCCAGAAGAAGGGTGAGATGATAATGCTGTATATAAGACATATTCATCTTATAATGCCAATACTGAAGGCAATCTATTTGCATATATTATTGAGATTTGTGAAAGATTCTGCAGTGTTTTTATAATGTTTTATATAATTTCAGAATGATCTTGATGATCCAGAAAGGGGTATGATCTTTGTCTGCAGTGCTACACATAAAACAAAAGTAAGTTCAAGGTTGTGAAATTTATAAACAAGAATTTTGTATGATAAGGGTGTTCTTTTATAAATTGAATTTGATTTTATTTTCAGAGCATGTTCTTCTTTCTGGCACAAACTGAACAAGGAGACATCTTCAAAATCACACTTGAAACAGATGAAGATATGGTACGTTGATTAATACATTAAGGTGGAACTATATATCTGTGAAATGTTAATGTATATGTTTAACAGGGTTGGTTTCAATTTTAGGTCACAGAGATCATATTAAAGTATTTTGACACAGTCCCTGTTGCATCTAGTATGTGTGTGCTGAAGTCTGGCTTTCTCTTCATAGCATCAGAGTTTGGAAATCAGTAAGTTGTTTGAGATCTACATGTATGAGGGAAGAAAATAAATGTAAGAACTTGGTTTTCTGAATAATTGAAAGTTGGGTCTGTGTTCATGTACATACATATTTCTGAAAAACAAGAAGTCAGGTTATATCTGATAATGGTGCTACAGTATTTAAATACACATATTTACATATATTTACATACATTTATGTGATTTTGGTCGTGGTTAAAGTTTCAGATTAATTATTGTGTGCATCTTTCAGTTACTTGTACCAGATTGCCCAGCTTGGAGATGATGATGATGAGCCCAGATTCAGCAGTGCATCTCAGCTTGAGGAAGGTGAACCTCATTTTTTTTCACCAAGACCACTCAAAAACCTTGTACAGGTGGACGAGATGGACAGTCTCTCACCCATCACACATTGCCAGGTAAGATGCATGGAGAGAATCAAAGTGAATGTAAAACATAATTTGTATCTAAAAAGTAAATTAAAAGTGCCATTTGTTAAAATACTGCAATTTATGGTTCATGTATCATTTTTCTAGATTGCTGATCTTGCAAATGAAGACACACCACAGCTGTATACTCTGTGTGGGAGGGGCCCTAGGTCCACACTAAGGGTTCTAAGACATGGTCTGGAGGTAAGTTAACACTAGTTTTCTGACTCCAAAGGACACAAGTATTTATCTCTACCAAATAGTGGAAAAAATATATTGTAATATTCTATAATTTGTAGTTTTCTATAATTTGCACCCTAAAACTTGATTGTTAATGTTAGATCAATATGCTGTATAATTTATAGGTGTCTGAAATGGCCGTATCAGAACTGCCCGGTAACCCCAATGCCGTCTGGACAGTGAAAAAGAACATTGAGGGTAATGTTTACTTTATTTACAGAGACAAAGAGTGGGTCCTTGCACTAAACACCATGGTGCCAATTGGGGGAGAGTGAACTTTAAGGAAAAGACAAATATTTGAATTAGGAGAATTTTGAGTTCAAAGTTCTACCAATAGAAAGTCAAATATTTGTCCTCATTTCCAGTTGAAAAACTGAGAACAGATACTTTTTGTTTGTAGGTACACTGGATTTTAAAATGACAGACTGAACATGAATTATAAGATTAAAAAAAAATAATGAAGAATGTGTACTTTAATTGCACAAAGTAATACAACAGCAGGGACCCACAGAATAGAACAACTCTAATAAAGGCTGGTGTTTGGAACTTTCCTTCACCACGCCTACTTTCTCATTTCAGATGCTGTCCTAGAATAAGGCTGATACCAGTATCAGGTGGGTATTAAAAGTTGGGTTTCATGATGGAAGAATTTCAAGAAATCTTTGAAAAGGAGATGACTGTGACTATGGATCATGCTTACTTATTTTAGAAAATGTAAAATGTGTCATAAAATATGCATTTGTATTATGTATATATGTAGTTTTAGATTTTGGATCCAGTTCTATAATTCAGCTCTCGCACACCCCACATATCAATTCCAAATAGTCCCTCACATGTGTGTGTAATCATTCTGTAATGTGTATTCACAGTTTTCATTTTGTGGCACATTCTGTGATAGAGACAACTGACATCTTTTTTTACCTTGCCTAGTGCTCTGTACTTGTAGATGAATTTGACGCCTACATTATCGTGTCCTTCGTCAACGCTACTCTTGTATTGTCCATCGGAGAGACGGTAGAAGAAGTGACAGATTCTGGGTTCTTGGGAACCACACCAACACTTTCTTGTTCACAGCTCGGAGATGATGCTCTTGTACAGGTACATACCATGTATATCATCTATTTTTATTTCTAACTCGCTATCATTTGTATACATCTGTGATGATAAAGTAACTTTCTCCACTTCATATGAGAAGTTTATGATTATTTTGGTATCTGAGATGTATGCTTTGTATTTATTCAAAATTCATCAGCCTGGTATTGTGAACTTTGTCAAAAACTCATTTTACTGTTTTTCCAGATTTACCCTGATGGAATCCGTCACATCCGATCTGACAAAAGAGTCAACGAGTGGAAGACACCTGGGAAAAAGAGCATTGTCAAATGTGCTGTCAATCAGAGACAAGTAGTGATAGCGTTAACAGGGGGAGAACTTGTCTACTTTGAAATGGACCCAGTAAGTATACCACAAATTACTTACTGTTGATAAGTATTAAATACATGTAAATTTTTTACTTGAGTTGTTTTCACCCACTTCAGAATTTGCATAATGAGTGCAATGGTAAAGTGAATGAAAATTAATGAAGATTAAAATTTTTGAGTATACACTCTAGATCTAGAAGGACTTAAAATTTTCTTTCAAAAAATTCATGTAAAATGATATTAGCTATGAAAACTGATATTCTGTTAATAGTATTTTCCCAATAACAAGTTTTTTACAGCATTTGTGTACTTAGACTTCAATGCTTGTTGAAAACAAAAACCACAGAAAAGTATTTTTTTTCAAACAGTTGATGCTTTAATTATTTTTGTGTCTTTCTGCTCTATAGACAGGTCAGTTAAATGAGTACACAGAGAGAAAGGAGATGTCCTCAGAAGTAGTGTGTATGGCCCTGGGGAGAGTCCCCGTGGGAGAACAGAGGTGTCGCTTCCTGGGGGTTGGGCTCTCTGATAACACAGTCAGGATCGTTTCACTGGATCCAGCTGTAAGTTCAAAGTGTTATGGTTTCCTGCAGTTACTGTAAATATGCTGTTTTATATTATCCAATATAGAATGATATGGATTAAATTTGATCATTTGGAAGGGTGACATTTTATTCAGAAAGTTTCCATATTTTATGTCTTACATGTAATACCTTGTCAATTCTTTCTCTGTTTACTTGTCAATTTCTTTCCAAGATACTTATACAAGTGCATATCTGTAGCATTTTATTTGGTTTTTAGGATTGTTTGTCCCCACTGAGTATGCAGGCCTTGCCAGAACCCCCTGAGTCTCTGTGTATAGTGGAAATGGGAGGTACAGAAGCTAAGGAGGAAACGGGGGAGACTGGCACAGTGGGGGGCTTATTTCTCAACATCGGTCTACAGGTAAGGAAAGATATAATGGAGGATATAATGAAAGTATATAACATGGGAGATATTTACGTGCATTTAATTGTAAACATCTTTCAAGTGACAAATATGTTATTTCATTGGAGGGAAAAACAGTAACATGATGATATATTTCCGTGTTTCAACTGAAAATCATTTGATTACACAATCTGTTTTTCTGATTACTGGCAGTTTGAGGTTAATTATTATACATATTACTTGCTAATTAATGGACTTGGAATCATTGATTAGTTCTGAATGTTACAGAATGGTGTGTTACTGAGGACAGTGTTGGACACAGTTACTGGAGACCTCTCAGACACTAGGACAAGATACCTTGGATTGAGGCCTGTCAAACTCTTCAGAATATCCATGCAAGGATCAGAAGCAGTAAGTTGTTTAAACTTAATAGAACTGATGCTAGATAGAACCAAAAAAAAGATGATTAATTAGGGCTTACCTGTGCTTCAGTATGGTAAAATTCTTTATCTCAGAGATTTCAGAGCAAGATTCAGTGTTTTATGGACAGAAAAAAGAACTCCCTAAAAATAATATACTTTATTTGAAAAAGCCAGTAATATGATGTTATACATCCGTGTTTCAACTGAAAACCATTGATTACAATTTATCTTTTCTGATTACTGGCAATATGAAAATTCTTTGTTTATTTCTGGCATTTAAACAGTTAAATAGATTGTGTGTGTTTTTGTGCTATAGGTTCTAGCCATGTCCAGTAGATCTTGGCTCAGCTACACCTACCAGAACAGGTTCCATCTGACCCCCTTGTCTTATGAGACTTTGGAGTATGCATCAGGTTTTGCCTCGGAACAGTGTCCAGAGGGCATTGTAGCCATCTCCACGAACACTCTCAGGTAAGGAGAAAGGTGTACAAAAAGAACTTGTATATACATGTATTATAGTTAGTTCAACTAACAGCAAAATAAATACACTGTTATTTTGTCAACACTTTTAGTAATACAATGAAGCGCATTGAAGTGGTAAAATTTTCTGTTCGAATGGAACGTTTTGAGCTATATTTAGAGTGTTTATTGTCATCTTTTGACACGCCCATTTCTTTAGAAATTGATAAAACGGTCAAGTTGTTTCTTCAAATACCTGTAGAACAGGTTTTCCGTAAATATAATAGCCAATCAAATTGAGGATCTAAATAAACACCGAGTAAACACGTGTTCGACCAAAACATGTGTAGTGGTAACTTCAATAGACATGATAAGTTCAAAAATATGTACATATTCGTTGCAATCTGTGTTTAACAGGCGGGAGAAACTCCCTCTTCTATTTTTTTTAAAGCTCCATTTCAGTGTAACTCAAGATGCTTGTCGCGAAGAATGGGATGTCCTAAAACTACACGAATATTTTTCTCGTTTCTAAAAATATGGGCGTGTCATTATGTTATAATTGACCTTCAAAACATGACTCAGAACTTTTCATCCAAACGGAGAATTTTACCACTTCAATGCGCTTCATTGTACATCTTGAGTTACATCATGATGCTTGTCGCGAAGAATGGGATGTCCTAAAACTACGACAAATATTACTTTCTCGTTTCTAAAAATATGGGCGTGTCATTATGTTATAATTGACCTTCAAAACATGACTCAGAACTTTTCATCCAAACGGAGAATTTTACCACTTCAATGCGCTTCATTGTAACTGCTTGATTGTTTTCAGTATTCCTTTGGCTACCATTAAGTTTCGAAGTTTCGTGCTTGTGAGCATTAATGAAATGATTTGTGTCCTGTTTTCAGAATTTTGGCCTTAGAAAAATTGGGTGCTGTGTTTAATCAGGTGTCCCATCCCCTACAATACACTCCCAGAAAATTTGTGATTCATCCCGAGACCAACAACCTGATAGTAATAGAGACTGATTATAATGCTTATACAGAGGCCACAAAGATGGAGAGGAAACAGCAAATGGCAGAGGTAGGCTAGAGTTTTATAGAATTACTGTTATTCCTAAGGCTATAAAAAAATATTATCTTGGTTCTCAGGCCCTCCCTCATCTCTTTTAAGGGTGCCTCATTGACCCTTTTTATTGCTAAATCAATAAAATAAAAACAACAAATCACCTCCCTCATCATTTTCTTAGGTTTTGTACAATGTAAAAAGATGCCTCATCAGTTTTGGGGGCAATAAAAAGTGAAAAAAATGCATCCCTCCCTCATCATATTTCTTGAAAAAAGGCCTGAGAACCAAGGAATTACTTAAACGGAGTTTGGGAACATATTGTTTTTACTCTGTTTCTTATTATCTGTTCCCCAAACGAAGTTGGGGAACATATTGTTTTTATGTTTCTTATTATTATTATTTTTCTTCTTCTTCTTCCTGGAACTTTTTTGTCCGGGAATGATCTTGTAAACTGTTCGTCCGATGTAGGTAAAACCTTTTTAGGGTTAGTAGACATGTTATGTAGATTTGCGGAATCAAGGTCATTTTGCGCGCACGTGCTTGCAAGAGCGTGCACGTGCAACACGTGAAATGACCAATATAATATATATAGCCACAACTTTTCTTTTTTTTAGATGAAATGCTTTGAAACTCATAATGTGAGGATATATAAGTAGTATATACGACATGGTGAAAATAGCAAGATCTCACGCGCATGCACGTGCACTTTAATTGGCTGCAACTAAAGTCTCAATATCTTTCTTGTTCTTTGACGAAATCCTTTGAAATTTTGAACATAGCCATGCATTAGGATATCCTACAACATGAAATAAAGCAATTATCATGAAAACACGTTTTTCATGCACGTTACTGCAATCTGATTGGCTGAAACTTTAAACAGCTATAACTTGGTTTTCAACCAAACAGGATGGGATTTGGAACATTAGATATAATGGACTTCTACAAGTAGTATGGTCACCATGCTCATGCATGTGTTACATGTGCTGCAATCTGATTGGCTGAAACTTTAAACAGCTATAACTCCCTTAGTTTTCACCCAAACGTGGTGGATTTTAGAACATAGATAGATTTAATGGACTTCTAAAAGAAGGTATGGTCACCATGCTCATGTATGCACGTGCGTGCACGTGAAAATCAAAAATACACTTGAATGAGCGTATTTTAAAAATAATTTTGGATTAAATACTTTAATATTCAGTGTATTAAAAATATAGATTGTGTAGACAAGATGATATGGTCATGACGCAAATGCATTCACATGTGCACGCGTGCAAATGCTAAAGTTTAAATGATTTTTGTACACTTCTTTGTAAATGTTGTTTAAATCTCAGAAATAATATACTTATTTAATGAAGCTTACAGGGAATATGGCACCAAAAGGGAGTGTTATACATCCGTGTTTCAACTGAAAACCATTGAATTAGCAATAGTTATTATTATTATTATTATTATTTTTTTTATTATTTCTTCTCCTGTTTTTTTTGGCTTTTAAACGTTCACCCAACTGAGCTAAAACCTTTTTAGGGTTAATAGGTGTGTAGTGTAGGTGTGCGGAACGAAGGTCATTTTGCGCGCATAAGCACGCACGTGCGTGCGCGTGAAATGAGTGAATTGACTGATATACTTAAAATAGCTATTACTTTTACATTTTTTGATGAAATGATTTGAAACTCATTATATAAAGATATATTAATACTATTGATAATGTGACACTGTCAAATTAGCAGAGGGCATGCACGTGCGCTTCGCTCTGATTGGCTAAAACAAAAATCTCAGTATCTTCTCTGTTTTTTGATGAAATGCTTTGAAATTCAAAATATATACATGAATTAGGATATCCTACAATATGATATAGAAAAAATTTCATGAAATCACGCGCATGCACGTGTGCTGCAATCTGATTGGCTGACACTTTAATTGACTATATCGCCTTTGTTTTTTGTCGAAATGCTTTGAAATTTAAAACATAGTCATACATTAGGATGCCCTGCAATATGATATACAAAAAATTTCACGAAATTACGCGCATGCACGTGTGCTGCGATCTGATTGGCTGAAACTTTAAATGACTATATCTCCTTTGTTTTTTGACGAAATGCTTTGAAATTTAAAACCTCCTAATCATTCATTAGGATATCCTACAATGCCATATAGAAAAATGATCATGTTTAATCACGCGCATGCACGTGTGCTGCAATCTGATTGGCTGACACTTGAAATGGCTATAACTCCCTTGTTTTTCAACCAAACAGGATGGGATTATAATGCTTAAATAAATATAAGGGACTCCTACAAAGAAGGAGAGGTCAAACAGCAAATGGCAATGAAATTAGAAATACACTTGAATGAGTGATTTTTAATAATTTTGGACTGAATGCTTTCACAAATAGTATATTACAGGGAATATGGAACTAAAAGGGAGTTACTGTTATTAGCACTAGTTTTACATGGCCTAAAATGTGTAATGCTGATGTTCATGTACCATGTACAAATTTTTTAATTATGTTTTATCTCAGAAAGGAATGTGATGATGTACCTAATTATTTGGGCCTTGTATTGACCATTTTAATACATATATTTGTGTAATAAAAATGTGAAATGACAATACTTCAGGAAATGGTGGAGATGGTGAGTGCGGAGGAGAGAGAAATGGCTGCAGAAATGGCCGCTAACTTCCTGAATGAGGAGCGATCTGAAGCTACGTTCGGGGCCCCCAAGGCTGGTCCTGGAATGTGGGCCTCCATCATCCGAATCATCAATCCCATCACTGGCAACACGCTGGAGAAAATACAGCTGGAACAGAATGAATCCGTACACAGGTAGGTACTGTGTTGTGGTGGACAACATCTTCAGGGTAACCATGCTAACATAAGCTGTCATGAAAATGATGTTTTACTGTGTTTCAATTGATTTGTGATTACAATTATCTAATTTCTGATTCATGACAAAAAGATGGCTAACTATTATTGTGTCCAGAAAGATTTGTACAGATAAAGATACTGAATTTTTTTTTTCTTGAGCCTTTAGTTGTGATAATGTACATGTATATACTTTAAAAAAATTTTTTTTTCAATTGATGGTGTTCTTGTAAACATTAGGCTATATAAAATTGATTTTCTGGTTCTCAGGCCCGCACGCATCCATTTTGAGGTAGCCGCATTGCTAATTTTATTGTATTTTTGATAAAATAAAAAGTTGGTATTGCTGACACCAATCCCGAAAAAAAAAGTTCTGTCCTCATTTTTTTCATAGTTTAGTATTCAACTATCACTTCCGGTAGCCATTTGCAAAGAGATTTTGGCCACCTTGTTTAAAAATACATCGAAGACATTGCCTATGATGTTCACACGCTGATAAGCAATGGATAAAGCAAACCTTTTGATCATACATGGAAAGTATATCTGTGAATAAAAAAATTATCTTTATTTTTAAAGAAAATTCGAAAATTAAAATTAAAAAAGTACCTCCCTCATCTACTTTATTGCCAATAAAATGATAAATAAAATGCCTCCCGCCCGCATCTGTTTTGGAGAAAATTGGCCTGAGAACCAGAGAATTAAATTTAGATAGCCTTACATGAGAATGTATGTCAAATTCATGTGTTTAAATTCTGAATTAAACTATTACAGCATTGCCCTAGTGAAGTTTGCCAGTCGTGGAGATGACCAATTTGTGTTAGTGGGTGTCGCAAGAGACCTTGTATTAAATCCACGATCGCTCACTGGAGGATTTATCTACCTTTATCAAGTGGAGGATGGAGGGGAATCCCTGAACTTATTACATAAAACGCCTGTGGAAGATGTCCCAGGAGCAATTGCTTCATTTCAAGGACGAGTGCTTATTGGTGTGGGAAGGTATCTAAGGATTTATGACATAGGCAAGAAGAAAATGCTGAGGAAATGTGAGAATAAGGTAAGAAATTGGATATATGTATCTACGAGTATATCGATAAACCACAAAAGAAAGAAACTTGCTGGATTCATTAATTTGTGGTCGAACAGTGCTTAAACAGGTAAATATGATTTTAAGGGGAGGGGCATTAGACTATAGAACCAACAGTCTCAGCTTACAACATTCATCATGACTGTACTAGATAATTAAAAATTGGACTAATTGTTTTCTTCCTTATGATATGTAATGAGTAACTTTCCATTATAGAGCATCCCAAACTTCGTCTCCATGATCCACACCATTGGAAATCGTATAGTGGCATCTGACATTCAGGACAGTTTTCATTTTCTGCGATACAAGAGACAGGAGAACCAGCTGATTGTGTTTGCCGATGACACAAACCCGAGGTGGATCACAGCTTCCTGTTTACTGGATTATAATACTGTGGCAGGGGCAGACAAATTCGGCAACATCACCATCGTAAGTAATGTACCGTATTTGGCTGTGGCAGGGGCAAAATACACACTTTATAACTTTCTCTTACAAATTGGAGAAAATTATTTATGCATTTATTTCAACAAAGCACAAGATAATGTTGCAACATCACCATCGTAAGTAATTCTTATTTATTTTAGGAAAAAAGTGCGTATTGTATTCCCCCAAATACGGTATATTTTGAAATTTTAATTTGATCATAAAACTTAGGACATAAAATATGTACATGTTCATTTGTAACAACATGAATTTTGACATCATTCAGTGAATTCAGATATATTCTATATGATGACAACATTGATTTTGATAGATCCGACTACCATCAGATGTAAGTGATGATGTTGATGAGGATCCAACAGGAAACAAAGCATTGTGGGATAGAGGTCTTCTGAATGGAGCTTCACAAAAGGTATATGACATTTCCTGTCATTTTCAAACTAAATTTAAACTTGAATCTCAAAAACAGGGATTAGAGTGATAATGATTGATGACTACTTCCAGGCAGACGTGGTGATGAACTTCCACCTAGGGGAGATGGTGACCTCTTTACAGAAGGCCACCCTGATACCCGGGGGGTCAGAATCTCTGGTGTACACCACACTGTCGGGGGGAATAGGGATGCTGGTGTCCTTCACATCACACGAGGTATGAGACAAATATAATACAGATTTTATGTCTATGTTCAAACACTTTCAAGAATTTCAATTAACAATGTCTGTGTATTTCAAATATAAAGAGTTTCCGATGAAGGATGATAAGTTTACTTTGAAATTGTAGGATCATGACTTCTTCCAACATTTGGAGATGTACATGAGGACAGAGCACCCCCCTCTGTGTGGCCGAGATCACTTGTCCTTCAGATCCTACTATTTCCCCGTCAAAGTAAGTGTAACAACCACAACCCTGTATATTAATATAATTTATCATGAACATGTGACTTATAAAAGTACATGTAACCACTGTCACAATCTACCATGGATTTTATAATTATACAAACTAGCAGGGTTATGGAAAAATTTAGTTGTGCAGTTTTGCATTCTTATGTGGCAAAACATCTTATTTGATCCTTGTAGAATGTGATAGATGGAGACCTGTGTGAGATGTTTAACTCCATAGATCCTGCCAAACAGAAGAGTGTGTCTGAAGAGTTAGACAGGACGCCCAGTGAAGTAAGTGTTTAAAAATATCCCAGTCATCAAAATTACCTTTTCATTTACCCTGTTGAAGGGTGCAAAACATCATTGTACAAGTCTAATGAATTTCCTGGGTCATTTATCTAACAGGATTTCATGGCCCGTGGTTTAAAATATGAACCAAATTCAATTGTTGGAAAGTTGTTTCATGATACTAAGGTTACCTATAAGGTCCGTAGGCCTCTTATTTTTTCAGTATCATCTGCAGGGTTTGAAATTAACAGTCGCCCACTCGCCATTTGCGACCAATATTCCTTGTGGGCGACTTAAAATTATGTTCAAGTAGCCCACATGGCGATTAGAAAATTTACGGTGATAAATATTTGTTTTTTAATTTTGTCCGAATGTTCCTTTTTTTTCTCTTGAAATTTTCGTAATCAGTAAAGTGCTTTATATTTACCAGTGAGAAGTACTTAAACATAAAGCGTCTGAGTGATTGTGACGACCAATGTGACATTGACGCGTCAATGAGCCCAACAAACCAAAAAGTATCTTGGTTGTGTCTGTGAAGAAATCTGCCATGTGCTTGAAGATATGATGTTTAATAACCATTTCAATCTTTTTAAACAAAAGAGGACAATTTGAAATTAAGATAAGTCATGCACAATGTTTCTACGGATAGAAAAGAAACATGAGTCATATGATAAAAAAAAAATAACGAAAAATGGGGTTGTTGTATATTTATTCAACAGAAGGTGTGATAATTTGTGGGCGAATAAATTTTGATGTGGGCCCCAGAATTGCAAGGTTTAGTAGCCCACATGGCGATCAAAGATTACAAGTTAGTTTAAAACCCTGATCTGTGATCATCAAGATTGGCTGGAGTATGTATTACATGGTTATTTTTATTTTCAGGTTTCCAAAAAGCTTGAAGACATCAGAACAAGATATGCTTTCTAAGAGGATATGTATTTGTCAAACTGTTGTGAATATCTAAAACACACTGAACTTGCATCAAATTGTGCCGGGCCTGCTAAACCACACACAAATAGAGACTTGATGGAATCAGTGTATTTCAGGATTGTATAGACAGATGAAATACTTACAAACGCTTTGCATGAAATATTCTTGCTGAAGTATTTTCAAAGTGTGTGAAATAGAGATAGCTAAAGATTGAAAATATTCCTAAATCATTCACCATTGAAAAAAATGAAGTACACATTTTAACCATGCATTTCATTATGGTCATTATTGGTCATGTTTGGCATTGTGCTGTTCATTGTTATCATTCATGTATCATAAGAACTTGACATGCATACATGTGAAGGAAATGTACATAAATATTTTTACAATGTATATTAATTACATGCTGATCTTTTCTGAATTCAGTGTTTTATAAATGTTATGAATAAATAGCGTACAACTATTTGAGATATTGTCAAAATAAAGACCAAAAATCAAAACTGTGTGGGGTTATTGTTTGAACACATACTGGTACCTATTGATGAAATGTGAAGATTTCCAGAGATTCGAGTTTTTTTCTATAGATGAGGCAAATTAAAGGTGGTATACACCTATCAGGCCATTGTTTGTGTAATCAAGATAACATTCATGCATTGATGGTTCTTTGTACCAAATACATGTAGATGGACACATCTGTAGGCTGTAGATTTGATTTCAATGCTCAAATAGAAGGGTTATTTAATAGATGTTGCCTAGATAGAAAGGTGTTGTAAATCCTGTTCTGAACTCCTCCACAACCGCTTTATACACCTATCAGGCCATTGTTTGTGTAATCAAGATAACATTCATGCATTGATGGTTCTTTGTACCAAATACATGTAGATGGACACATCTGTAGGCTGTAGATTTTATTTCAATGCTCAAATGGAAGGGTTATTTAATAGATGTTGCCTAGATAGAAAGGTGTTGTAAATCCTTGGCTTTTGTCCTAGTTATTTGGATATTATATATATATATATAGTAATGATTATGATATATGATCAGACAAACCCATACATATGGTGTTGATTTTTTAATTGTTTAAGAGCAGGTGTGATAAATTGATCGTTTTGATAACACAGTGCAAGAGCATTTGATGATAGACAATTTAGATCCTTCTGTGTTATGGAGGATGTTTGAAAGGGTGTGTGTGGGAGTGATTGTGTCTACCCCTATATTGTATTATAAATATTATCTCAGTTAATTGTATCTGTTACCCATGACCTTGTACAGAGAGGGTATTTATAGGCAGTTTTCCTGTTGCCCAATCTATTCAGTATTCTGAATAAATATAGTTTTAAAAGTCAAGATATATTCAACTGTGTGAGCATTTTTTGATTCAATACAGTTATTTGTCAGTTATTGTTTAGGGGAAATTATCACCACAGAACGAACAGTAAAAAATATCACACATATTGCTGCGTATGATTTTTTGTCCATTGAAAGATGCCCACACTTACACGGAGATGACTTGACATTTTATTGCTACTAATGATTGGAATGTTTTAGCAACCACGAAAGGTGACCCAAAGATATATGGATTCTTAAAGAAATGTTGCTCCAAAAAAATGTATGTACATTGAAATAAGGATTTATGATAAAAATCATTCAGAAGATTCACATGGAAAAATCAAAATTAATGGGATTTCATCTGCAGTCATTTCAAAATGCTACTTAGCTTTCACATAGGATTTGATAATGAGACAAACTAAGATAAGGTAAATTTCCTGCATATGATATATCCCTCTAAACTAAGATGATAATTTAATAAGAGAATTGCATGCAGCGTTTCCCGATTTAAGGAAGGTCCATACTTTTATGGATCCGGTTTTAATTTTACACATCAACATTAAGGAAGCTCTAAACACTGTACACTAAAGAGTTCTAATTGTTGTAGGGTATTTTTATGCTGATAGATGGTTTGCCCTTAGAAGTGAGATACAAACCAGAGGTACTGTGAGCAATGAGCTCACTAAATGATACCCCCCCCGCCTCCCATAATGTCCATGTTTTGCTGTGTATTGTTTTACGGTAATGTGTAAAGAGGAATAACTTGTCCTATCAAATGTTATTCAGAAGCCTTTATATGTGACGTCATAGAAGTGAGATACAAACTAGAGGTACTGTGAGCAATGAGCTCACTAAATGATACCCCCTGCCTCCCATAATGTCCATGTTTTGCGACATGTATTGTTTTACGGTTATGTGTAAAGAGGAATAACTCGTCTTATCAAATGTTATTCAGAAGCCTTTATATGTGACGTCATAGGTAAGAATATAATGGCAATGTCCATGTTTTGCTATGGGAAACCTAAAATACGAGTCGAATAAAAAAGTAAAATAGGAGGTGCACAATGGCAATATGTAATAAAGATTCTGTGAAAGTTTCATTAAATTTCACTCAGTAGTATAATAAGAGGAGTTGCGGATAAGAGAAGCTAGGGTACCCCAAAGAGTAACAGACGGAGGTACGGACGGACGGATATAACGATTGCTATATACCCTCCCACTTTTCAAGCGGGTGGTATAAAACTGGTTATTTACAGTTTTAAAATTACACAATTTGTAATAGACTTAAATCATATGCTTAGCATTATATAAGACCAAGAATAAGTAATTGAATTCATTATCATACCCTTTGCGATAACTTAATTGAAAAGAAATGGAACAAGCAAATTCAAAGAATTGTGGTCCCCCGCTTTCGGTGTCTTTGTGGGTGGGATGTCATTTTTTATGACATATTGTGTCAAATCATGAATATAATAGATTATATATATTGGTAGTTTCTTTAAGAAAAGTCTTGCCACAAGTATTACATACATGAAGTATGAAAGCCCTGGCCTGAACCGTTCAAAAGTTATGGCCAAGGTTAAAGTTTTTTTTAAAAAGTAGGTCAAACTCCAAGGTCAAGGTCAAAGGGTCAAAGTTCTTGGTATCCAATGGAAGGTCTCCTCACAATGATTACTGATATGTGAAGTATAAAGCCCTAGCCCTTACCATTCAAAAGTTATGGCCAAGGTTAAAGTTTTTTCATAAGTACGGAAATCTCCAAGGTCAAGGTCAAAAGGTCAGAGTTGTTGGTATCCAGTGAGAGGTCTTGCCACAAAAAATACATATTTGAAATATGGAAGCCCTAATATCTACCGTTCAAAAGTTATGGCCAAAGTAAAAGTTTGGAATTTTTGTGTAAAAGTAGGTCAAACTCCAAGGTCAAGGTCAAATTTGGTGGTACCCAAAGAAAGGTCTTGTCACTAAAAATATACATGTGAAATATGAAAGTCATAGCTCCACTAAATCAAAAGTTATGAGCAAGGTTAGTTTTTGTGACGGACAGACAGACTGACTGACTGACAGACTGACAGACGAATGAGATTTAATGTCCCCTCGCTTTCGCGAAAGCGGGGGACAAAAATGAGAGGCAACACTTGAAGGGGGAGGGGGTTTTGGTCGCTTTCACGAAAATGTATCTCATTCCTCTCTCGGTTATAACCTTGGTCATAAATATTAGCTTGATTGTGAAAAGACCATCCCGAATGTGTTACTTATTTTGACCTCATGATTTTCAATTTTGATCCATTGACCTAGTTTTAAAAAAAAACTCCAGAGTGTGTGTGAGAGAGGGTGCACGTGGGGTGTGTGTGGGGAGGGGTTGCACATGCAATTGTGCAAGTTGTATTTCAGTAATGTCATAGCAAATTCTTATAGTAATGAGGGGCGTTGCTTGACTTAATTTCTAGTGATGCAAATCTATTGTTGCCGAGGGTCTGGTGGAAATGAATTTGTGGATTTTAGAATTTAAAATATACAGTCATTTAGGGTATTCCGAATCACCTTTTACATTTTGACTGCAGATGATTTTATTAAAAACTTTTCACATGGTTGTTTGGTATCAAAGGAAAGCCAATTTAGTGAAAAATCAGATCTACTTTATAGAACGAGTCTATCTTCAATACAGCGACCTTGACCGGGGTTATATTTGGATCACCTTTTTAGTGTATTGTGAATCACTTCCGGGTATTTCGAATCACCAGGTAAATGGGTTGAAAACGGTCAGATAACATCATCATAATTGATGAACTAGTTAGTATTGTTTATAAAAAGCTCCAAGAATAAAAAGAATTAAAATTTTCTTGATTGTTCTTGTTTATTTGAAAGTTATCAACACCCCCCTCTTTATTCGCACTATAAAACAGCTTTTCAGAAGCGGATCATGCAGAAAAGCAATTATTACCAAGAAAATAGGGGTTTCAGAAATTACATGACTGTAAATTGTTGTCCTGTAAATATAATAATGTCACTTTTTTGCCACTGTGATTTTTTTTTCCACTGCAAAACAATTAACATTGAAAATATCATATAATTCTACGAATCGGCTACCAAAAAAAAAAAAAAAAAGATCATACATGCAATGATGATGATGATAAAAGAAATGTGTGAAAAGGAGTAAAGACTAGCTCTTGTTTAGATATACGTATCACAATTATTAAATGTGACATAAATCACTGGATACGTGCATAGTGTACATATATGTATGTGTACATGTGTATATGCTTGCAACTCCATATTTAAACACGTATGATAAAAGGATCAACACTGGTCAAGCTACTCATTAACTCTTCACAGCTTTTCCATTTCATAATTTTCATAGGTCCCTTGCATGTAAAGAAAACCGATGTTATCAAAATATCGGGCATATAACAAGTATGCAGCGTGTGCAATTTCTTCAGTTGCGGTCCTGCACATACATGATTCGAAATACCCCAAATTGTAGGGGGCTACAAATGCGGTTGTAACATATACATTTATGAGATGTAATAAAAAATTATTAATGCTCATGAAAGCTCATAAAATTGCCGTTCTGTCAATACCTAATATGCCAGGTTTCATCCACCAACAACGCCACGACATCGATGAGAAATATTCTGCAACGTTTATAGGCGGACTTTTTTTTCGAGAAGGATAGCAAGTTAACGAATGAATTAATTATTTTTTTAATTAACGCATTACGTTTACCTCTTTATTTTTTGTATGTATTAAGCATGAACCATGTTGTGAAAGAATATTTAGTTGTCACACGTGTGCATGTCTCGTATAAGATAAGCGATAAGGTAAATTACCGAGTGTCGCGAAATGCAGGGTGATTCGGAATACCCTAAATGACTGTAACTTTAAATCAATGACAGGTCGGTATAATATACAATTATTGCTGATTTTTGAGGTCAATACAATGATTTAGCCATCTGAGGAGTACAATATTCACCAAGCCCGAAGGGCGAGGTGAATATTGTACTTCGAAGATGGCTAAATCATTGTATTGACCGAAAAAACCAGCAATAATTGTTTTATTATATGATTCACTCAGATAAAGTGATACAGCTCATCACTTGTTTGCATTTTATTAAATTCTAGCCAAATACAAGAGAGAAGTAGAATTAAAATGTGAATAAACCTCACAAGTTGTATCAATTTGAAATGTCTTTATTAAATCAATTAATTCTAATTGCCATGAAAGAAATTTTATAATGTCAGTTTTTTTTATTATAGGATAGATTTTGAAAGGAAAGAGTATTATCAGGGAAAACTGACAGCCAAAAAGTAAAAAAAAAATTGTTGTTCAGTAAAAGTGTTGGAGGGGGGTCCCAGCATCCCCTCTTACCACCCTCATAAGATATATATTGGCTTATATGGTTTGTTCAAATGAAAATAAAAATCATTGTTGTTTTAATAGCTTTCTAAAACAACTTGTATCAATTTGGAATTTCCTAATCTATATTTAGATCAATGTAGAGGAAATAAATCCTTGTATTGACCTGGAACGTCACGTGCAGGTCAATACAACGTAATATTTTTCTAACATAGTTGGATCTCAGCCAATCAGAGAGATGGAAATTATTCAATCATATAATAAAATCATATATATCAATTTATTTTTTTAAACTCTTTATCAATAAAGTAATAAATGTACTTCCGTACAAAGTACTTTCATGACACTGGGAAATTGTTTAACAGATTTTTTTCTTTAAAAAAATATCAAACTATCCGCACATCAAATTTCCCGGGAATTCGTAAGTCAATATCATTCGTGGTTCTATGATTTCCGCAATACCCTAATGACGTAGTGCGCAGTAGCATATGCGCACACGGACCTACCGAAAATGGAGTATGTATTGACATGTACGATGTTGGTAACGTAAAACTTAGTAATTTTAGCGATTTTTATAATGCAGGTGTAGGAATTTAAAGTGATATATCGCAAATGAGTTTCAAGATGTCCAGTTCAAACAGATTCCCAAGAAGATCGCGTGGGGATTTTGAGATAGCAGGGTTATACGACCTCGAAGAGACGATTGGCAAGGGCCACTTTGCAGTTGTGAAGTTAGCCCGACATGTGTTTACAAATGAGAAGGTTGCTGTTAAAGTTATAGACAAAACGAAATTAGACGATATTTCCAAATCGCATTTATTTCAGGAAGTACGTTGCATGAAACTAGTCCAGCATCCAAATGTTGTGAGATTATATGAAGTGATAGACACCCAAACAAAACTTTATCTCATTCTTGAATTGGGTGATGGGGGTGATATGTATGATTACATAATGAAGCATGAAAAGGGTCTACCCGAAGACAAGGCTAGACGATATTTTAGACAAATTGTAGAGGCAATTTCATACTGTCACAAACTTCATGTAGTTCATCGAGACTTGAAGCCAGAAAATGTAGTGTTCTTTGAAAAACTAGGCATTGTGAAATTGACTGACTTTGGTTTTAGCAACATGTTCAATCCAGGAAAGAAATTAGAAACATCATGTGGTTCTTTAGCTTACTCTGCACCAGAGATTCTCCTTGGGGACTCCTATGATGCGCCTGCTGTGGGTAAGTATAGACAAGTGTGAATGTGATGTCAAGTTTATTTTTGTCATTTCTGACATTTGTGTATACTTATTATTTAGCTTCTGTGATAAATACTTCCATGTGTGTCTAAAAAACTGTCAAAATGAGTTGAAAAAATGAAATGGAAATGCAAAAGATCTTTGCCATGGACATGGAATATTGCTTTAAATTGTCTAAGATCCCCAGTGCTTATTGCTTTAGTCAGAATGATTTAGTTAAATTCCTTTTGCTACATGTGGTGAGGCAGAAGTTTATATTAACTGCACTCGTGTTTATGTTTTGTTATACCAAGTCATTTGAAATCTGTATACTGTATAGTATACAAGATATACATATTTTTTTAACATGCATTTAAAATATTACTTGCTGTGTATACATTACAGTAGGATTATTATGCATTGGGACAGTGCCTTGCTTTATACTGCTGCAGTTTAAAACATGCATACAGGATTCAGTTATACTTATAACATGTATAAGGTCATTCTAAGACTTATTCAGTATTAACCTATTTAAGGCTTAGGAAATCCCATTAGCATGGATTAGATTTACAGTAAAACTACACCAGTTATATATAGATTTTAAGTTTTGGTTTAAGAAGTGTTTCACTTCCCTAAAATTTTCTATAATTTTCATGTAATTAAAGGAGAAAATGAAAAGTTATTGGTGTAAAGAGTAATGTGTTTTCAAAATGTCACCAACAGCCCCAGGAAATTAAGAAAGGAATGTGTAAAGAAACAAAAGAAAAACTGATGACACCTCCATTGTTGACATATTTTGACATTATCTATGACCATCTACAAATTATTAGCATTTCATAGTAAATGTAATTAAAAAGTATATGGTAATTACCTATTAAGATTGAAATAATTACTGTCTCTTTTTTTAAAAATTATTTCATTTAACAATTTCAGCTTTTGAAAGGCTGGTAGATATTGAAAATAATAGTATATTATTCCCTGAACCATTATCAGGATTATTTTTTGATAGCATAACTAATTCGCTAAAATAAAGTTGGAAATAATCTCTGGCTGTCTTTCTTTTCATATAGTTAACAAAAGCTTTGAATTTCTGGTGGATATGAAAAATAAGGATGGTTCTATCTCCTGTTATCATAGTATGAATATATTTTTTTTATAGTACATGTATTCCGTAGGCAAAAGATGTACGTGTATAAGTATGGGTATGACGTGATAAGACCACGAGTAACCATGATCATCGTGTTATGGAGGAGGCAGATTAAGGTGTCATTTGCCGAAGCAGTTAAAAACCACACTGCATAAATGTCAAAGTCAGACATATCAATCCCAATGTACTGCAGTGCAAGAAATTGTAGATGTCTGTAGTACGGTACCTGTTGCATTCCTCAAGAAATGATTGGTCTTCCTTTGACAGGAAAGATACGACTGCTAAGTATTTGAATGTAAACAAGAACCGGAGAGTATTATTTTTAGCCGGCAGATAAAATATGCCAAGTTAAAAAGAGATAACACTGAAATCTCATCTACACATCAAAGTTTCATCACACAGGAAATTCTGTTATCAATGAGCCCTATACATTGCTTTATTTTCCGAGGCTTTTACCTTATTCCTGGGAGCATTGAAATCATCAGACAAGTACATGCCTTGACATTATAAATACTGGTACCTAATTATTGCAGTGCATGTTTTTCCAGTCTCAAAACATGCATTCTTGTTAAATGTTTTGACACTGTTTTGCTCACCTTTTAATATTTTAACCCAGAATCTATACAAGTTTGGCAGGCTGTCAAGATATGTAATTGAGATAGTGAATGAGCTAGGCGGTTTATGAATGAGTGGCTTTACCCCACAGGTTTCAAGGAGAGCTCTATTATATCGGTTGGACCCAACATTGGCTAAGACATCTGTTTTCTTTGGTAAATCCCTGGCTTTACTTGGGTACACCATGCACATGTCTAAATAAGAGATCGGTAACTTGTGTATTTTGATTATTGTTGTGTTGTTCTATCATTCATTACTGAATACTTGTAAATAAAACATAAGTTGGAAACAGTGAGGAGAGGAACATATATGTATTTGAAAATTATAAGCGGTACTGGTAATAGCTGGGTGAAATAGAAATAAGGAACAGTAGTCAGTCAAAAGCTCTACAGAGCTTATGTTACTTGTTTTAAAAATCCAAAATTAAATAAAATTTTCTGATTCTGAGTATTCAAGCTCAGAAGTCGACTAAATATTCCAATATAGGAGCAGAGCAAACACTGACCTCTAAACCATCAGAGGTGAGATCAGGTGCCATGGAGAAGTTAACATCCCCTGCCAATCAGTCACACCCATCCTCTTGCAGAAACCAGAAATGATATTGTTGACTCATGATTAAGTAATGACTTGGTTAATGGTAGGAAAACCTATCAGATATAATATTTTCTCAGTTAATTCAGGTGTTAAGTGGTTGATCACTGCTTTGACTCATGTATGTCCTCTAGCATTCAATGGATTCTGAATTGATGGACCTGAACTAATACCATAATCTATAGGAGAAAGATGGAAAAAGGCAAAATTTTTACTAGTAGATAATATTATGTTTTGTGGAAATGTTATTTATTGCATACAATGTTAACACTTTGTGCACAAAAAAAAGATGTTTAGATTTGATAGGTGTCAGGCATTCATGCTATTATTATATATGTGTGTATTGTGCACTTGTTCAGAGTACACAAATAGCTAAGTATTCATGGAAAAAAATAATCATCTGACATCAGAGAAATCTCTTGCTTACAGTTTAGTTAAACATTTTAAATGTGTAAGTACTATTTTAAGATGAACACCAGACCAGAATAATCAGATGAGGTACCGTACATCAAGATTTTATGAATACAATTAGCTATTAGGTTTAAATTTAACCACGAGATATAGGACAATGGAATCTATAGTCAGAATTTATCCAGCTCAGGGAAAACATCGATGTAGATCAAAGTAAAAAATATGTTAAAAGAAGAAACAACACTTGGATCTAATCTAAAATTGTAATTAACATGTAAAGAGGAAATTCTGCTTGCATCATTAATTAAGAACGAAGGCAAATTAAATGTGTATTTGTTAATATTTAATTATGACTATAGGTGTATGTTTGGTATTTTAACTAAACAAGGCCTTGTGTCAACAGGTCACTATACACACACAGATAAATGAGCGAGCTGTCAAAAAAGACATGATTTTTTCCACTTCCTGCTTTTGATAGGTTGTTTGTGTATTCATGCTCGTGAAAAGCAAAATCTGTGGTTTTTAATATTGATCAAAAACGGGCAATTGAAACAGAACTTAAAAACTGAATGAGGTCTCATTAACCTAGTCACATGAAAATTTGATTTTTGTCATGGTGTTCTAACCAAAAGGGTCATGGGAGGGAGGCAAAAAAAAGGTTATTGAACTTTGGAATTTACAGGTTATTAATAATATTAAAATAATAATACTTATAAATAAAAACATAATGAAAAATGTAAATATGTAAAAACATTTTTTCTGAGGACTCAGGTTCTAAGTTGCTTTTATATAATTCAAAGGAATTTTGAAACTTGGGTGGCTGTGCTGCTGTGGAGCTCATAAAATGTTTAATAATTTTGTGTCGATCAACACAGCATCTTTTTATAAAACTAAGCCTAATAAAAACTTCTGTGCACATTTTAGGCTGCCAATCACACCATCATAAAATCCAAGGATCTACACGTTTTTATGAAAAAAAAAAAAACTCTCTTTAAAAGAAATATATGCATATTTCTGGTCGGGAATTAAATAACTATTACGTTTAACCATGGTGCTCATGCACATAAACATAATATGATGTGTGATACTCCATTTATGATTATCCTTAAATATTTAGCATAAATTTAAATCATTAGTAAGTTTTACTAGATAAAATAGAATATACCTTGTATCTAAAATAACCTTGCTGTAGCTTGAGTACATTTAATTTATGTATATATAATAAAGATTATACTATAGGAGGATTGTTTGATAAAATGTTTAAAAATAGTCAGATTAAATTAGTATTCAATATATACCGGAATTACGGTCTGAATTTAACAGTTTATGATTGTCAAGGAAGTTTAGTGTATTAAATATAGGTCATCATTTTTGTGAAATACTTATTTAATCTGTAGGGAGAATTTATAAACACTTGACAGTGAGGTAGAGAGTTAAATTTAGAAGTTTGCTAGATATTAAACTTTAATTATAGAATGTGATCTGAGAACACTATCTGGAGCGGAAGTTTTACAACTGTCATTTGTTTGGCTGGCATAAACCTATGTTATCTGTCTGTGCAGGATTGACGCAAGCTTGAATTAATATACTGCCTAGATATGTACAATAAAATTGAAATTTTAAGTCCTGAATTTGCTGAAATCTGTGTATTAAAGGAGTTGATACCGCAATATTGGAAGAAAGGGAAATGAAAAAATGCAGCTGTTTTTTTTTTAATAAATAGAAGACACAAAGGATCTCCACTTATTTGCTTTACCTTGACCTTAAGTCACTTTACAGTGCAATTTATATTTACTAGCCAAATGATTTATTGGGACCATATATTTAATAAAGTGTTTGTAGCCTTGTAGGTCATTCTGGGTATATATCTTATTTTGTTCAAATCAGTCCGACTCCCTCACAAGTAAATTGAAGCATATTTTAAAGGATGCTTGAATCACTCTATACAATACCTATTTGGAGACCAAGTTGTAACAATCTGTTGGAATTCCAGTGGGTACTAATTTTGTCCCCTTATTAGCAGACCTGTCTGTACTTTGAACATGATGAAGCAGAATTTTATATAATCATATTCATTCATACATTGATTTCTCCCATTGAACTGAAAAGACAAAATAAGACCCTGATAGTCATCTAATTCACTTTTAACTAGAGAAAAACATTGATCAAATGGCAAAAAGAAAAAACTTTATGATAAACATGGAGGACTTCACTTTTATATTTTCATTTTCCCTTATTTA